ACTATATTATTAGTGACAATAAATAGTGACAAAGATTGATAACAACTCACTAATACTCTCCGCAACCGTAAGAAGTACTCTACAATATCTGCTTTGTCAACGCTTATCACACGTCCAGTATTGTTGGTAAAAACTATTCAGTTTATGACAAGTAAAAATAGTAAGTATAATTGTTGGGAAATTAACTATCCGTTCAATTATCGGATCGTTGGCTTCGGTTGGGAAATGTAAGATTATTATCGGATCGGACTCGGTTCAATTCTTTTCAGATTCGGGTACGGAAGTTTAGTATCCGTTCGGATAATATGACTATTCGGTTAGGTTTCGGTTTGAATAAATTTCGGATTCGGATCAGTTTTCATTCAGTTTTCAGAGGGAAAATGTTCACTTTTAATTAAAAATTGATTCAGTTTTATTAATATTTGGTTAAATTTTGTGATAAATTGTATAATTTTGAAAAACATAATTTAAGATTTTCGAATATTAAGGTTAGTTCGTATATAGTTTTTGTTATATTAGTGATAAAATATATATTGACACAAAGATTGATAAAAACTCACTAATACCCTCCACATTCTTAAGGAGTACTCTACAATATCTGCTTGATCAACACTTATCACACTTGTCCAATATTATCAGTAAAAACATTCAATTTATGACAAATAAAAATAGTCATGTTTTCACCTTTTTTTTTGCAAAATATTTTCAGCAAGTTCAAAGGAAATTGACAACTCAGATATTCTTAAATTATACAAATAACATTATGATTTAATCTAATTTTCTGGTATTAAAAAAAATCAACGAATAGTTAGTGACTTAGTGTATCTTTAAAATGTTTCGCTAATTTTAAACATGTCTGAACAATAATTGTAATAGTTACATGTATAAAGGGGGCGCTATTAATTGAATTATTGAGTGCAAATTGCACTGTGCAATAAAGATATATGGACGAACTTTTTAATAAAAAAGAAGATTATATTAATTATTTTTTATGGTTACACCATATTTAAAGATATGTGATATACTAATAAAAATTATACGATATCTTTGGTTATATATATTCTGAAAGAGACTTGAAAGCGTTGCAAGTTCAACTCCTTTTTCTCATTTTGGATGCTTAATCATGGATATTTATACGACTTGTTAAATTTAAACAATTTTAAAGATTGTTACGATATATATTACTCATCGGTGTTCCGTCGCAATATAAATACCATAGTTGTCCTTTTTTTTTTTTTTTTTTTTGGCAAAGACCATAGTTTTTTTTGGTACAAGGTTAAATTAACAAAGACCATAGTTGTCCATACCACCGTATTCGAGAATAACTATTCTTAAAGCTAAATGATAAAATTTCATATTACGTATATAAACACCAAAATTAATATATTAAATTACCATTTTTTGGACGTTTCTGGTTATGGCATCGTCAAATTAATTGGCCATAACTATTAAGTTGTTTGTACATTTACATGTATACATGCACGTGGAAGCTATACTAAGTCTACTCACTTGTTTAGTTTTGTTCATTTAATTTTTCCATATTCCATAATGAGTCAATTTGATTTTTCCCTTTCGTGAAAATTTTCAGTACATGATTATATATAACAATCAATAAATGAATACAGTCGTCATCGAAACTTCCCATCTGTATTTTTCTAAACATAAGAATTTCTTAATTTCTAATGATGGTCGAACATGCTGCATGTGGTCACGTTATTTAGATTAGACATGAAATGTGTATATAACATGTAAAATTATTCATATATACAGAAAAAGCAAGACATTATGTTTGGCTCATTGATGTTTATTTTGATAGACGAAGAGATTTAAATCTAGAAGATGAAAAATGGTTTATATGGATTTAACTATTTTACAATTACGCAGGCAGAAGTATTTGTTACTTTAAAGATTTTCATTATATGTTAAGGTAAACTATTCTATGGTTAAATTTGGACGACTACAAAAATATTGTACAACGTAACTCTTTCTCTTTCGCGAAACACATTTTCGTTTTAGCTATGTCATTGCTTTAAGAAGGCAACGATTGCTTTGAAATCTAGACAAATATTGTACAACTCTTTCTCTTTCGCGAAACACATTCTCTTGTACAAAAATGAAATCTAGACATTGCTTTGACACAGTTAAGCTGAATTAAAAAAGAGAGAACTGCAACACGAATGACATCAATCTAGGAGGAGTTACACTAATATCTTGACACCAGTTTGCTTGTCTTGACTTTTCATATATATGAATATAAGTTGACAAAAATGAAAAATTATATTATCAATAATGTAGGTCACGGAAAGACATAGTCTCATAGACTAATCAAATATGTGTTACTTTAAATTTATTCTGGTAGTAGATACGTAATTTAGTCTCTACGTTGTCTTAATCTGTTCTGGTAGCAGATGTGTTGTTCATTCACTATCGATACTAATACGAATTCAATTATCAAAAAAATAAAAATATTATTAGAATTCAATATAACTGGTTTTACAACAAGTCAACGCGACTAATTACATTCATTTTTTATTATTTGATTTTGTTAAAAAATATACAAATTCTATACTAAGAGTCCTATAAAACTATAAAAGTAAAAGCTCTCAACAAACTTTTCAATTACTATAATTATTTGGTGAATTATTTTGTGACAATACTAACAATATCCTATATATGTATAAAAATTAAAGCTCACAAAACATCTTTCATTTATGAGATTGCCATTGGTCACCTAATCATTTTAATATTTAAAAGGCACAATTTGTTGTTTTTAATTATATCACAAAAGTTTTTGAACTTTTTTTTTTTTTTTTTTTTTTTTTTTTTTTTTTTTTTTTTTTTTTTTACTTTAAAGATCTTACCATTAAAAAGGCCCAAAAGATTGGAAACCTAGAAATACACAGTGCCTCCTATAAGAGCAACACCTACAAACACACATACAAACAAAGAGAAGAGCACATTACTATTGAAACACTTGAAACCATGAAGCAAGGAGCGATAATCTTGGAGGCATAACCGCCTGGGCCCTAGTAAGAGGGTCAAGGTGGCAACGGATTAAGTTTTTAGCTTCGAGAATCAAAACGCAGGGAGGCTTCGAAGTAGACGTGTGTAGTCTCGAGTTCCTTTCCTTCCACACAAGGTACAATGAGGCCTGAAAGGCGAGCTTTAGGATCAGAGAGATGTTCTGGTCAGCTGAGGAATTCATTAGCCAAACCACTGCATCCATAAAGCCCACCGGAGGAGTGACATTAGCCTTATTGGTGAAGTAAGACCACACTTCAGCAGCATAAACACAGTCGAAAAATAGGTGTTGTCTTGATTCGTCATGAACATTACATAGGAGGCAAACAGATGGCACCACTAGACCCCAGCTAATGAGCCTATCCCTTGTGTGCAACCTATTTCTGGTAGCAATCCAGGCAATAAAAGCATGTTTGGGGACTCTACCTTTGTACCAAATAGAGTCAGCCCAAGGCACTGGAATTCCAGAAGGATTCAGAAACTCCCATACTTTTGATGCTGAGAAAACATTTGAAGCATCACTGTCCCCAACCTTCCACAAGAACTCATCATCATCATCATCATTCTCCCCAAGAGCATTCACCACTGAAGGTGAAGGAAGACAAGCCTGAAGCAGCTGGATGGTACTGTTTCTACTGCGGCTACGAGAGATCCACCACTCTCCATCCCTCACAGCATCAGCAACCACCGCAGTCCTTGGCAGACCAGAAACCCGAGGACCTCTCTCTCCAGTAAGATCAATGATCGGTCCTAAGGCAGTCCAATTCTCATTCCAGAAATTACAAGAGATACCAGAGTTAACTTTGCACACAATAAATGGCCTTGCTAGAGGCCTGAGCTTACATATTGATTTCCAAATCCAACTTCCAGAATTCAAGTAATTCAAATCCCAAAAAGACTGGTTACCAATCAGGTTCCTGCGCACCCACGAAACCCACAAAGATCCACTTGCCGCAAATATTAGCCAAATAAGCTTTAGCCCGAGAACCTTATTCCAAGGAACAAGCCTTCTCAACCCCAGACCACCACAGTTCTTATGAGTACAAACAGATTCCCAAGAGATTTTTGCCCCTCTCGCAGAATTAGGAGCACCATTCCATAGAAACGCATTACACATCCTCTCAATATCCTCAAGACACTTTACCGGAAGAAGGAAGATTGAAGCCCAAAAGGTAATGATAGAATAGATAACTGAGCGAATTAATTGCAGTCTCCCTGCGAATGACAAGTGTCTTACTGTCCAAGCGTTGAAGCGAGAGAGAACCCTATCAATCAACGGTTGATAATCTTGCTTTGTCAGTTTTCTAGATGTCAGAGGCACCCCCAGGTATCTCACCGGGAATGATCCTTGAATAAGCCCCAATCTGTCAGCCATATCTTGATTAATCTGAAGGTTTCCACCATCTAAAAACAGAGCCGTTTTCTCTCTATTGATACCAAGCCCAGAAACAGCTTTAAACTCCTCCAAAATTCGCAGAATTCCCAGAAGAGACTGCTCCGTACCATCAAAGAAAATTAGGACATCATCAGCAAAGCTGAGATGAGTAACAAGAGGCACCAAACACTTAGGGTGGGGTCCAAAACTCTGATCAAGAACTCCTCTATCCAGTTTCTTAGCCAAAACATCCATCGCAAGGACAAATAGTAATGAAGAAATAGGATCTCCCTGTCGCAACCCTTTCTTTCCCTGAAAATACCCAACAAGCTCTCCATTTATAGCAATACTAAAACTAGTAGTAGTGAAGCATTGCTTGAGCCAACCCACAAATTTATCTGGCAGCCCGATGGCATTAAGCACATTTTCCAAGAATTGCCAATTCAGGTTATCATATGCTTTTGCCAAATCCACCTGAAGACAGCCTCTAGAAGTGATTCCAGAGGCATGGAAGTCCGAAACCAACTCAGAAGCAAGCAGTACATTCTCGCATAAATGTCTACCTTGAACAAAGCCCACTTGGTTTCCTTGGACTGCATCAGAGATGAATAACTTGAGTTTATTCTTCAGGAGTCTCGCAATGATCTTGTATACAGTAGTGCAGCAAGAAACATGACGAAATTGGGTTAAAGTATCTGCCCCTTGAACCTTAGGAATCAGAGTAATAGCAGTAGCATTGAAGATCCTTGGTAGATAACCATTCATAAAGAATTCTTGAACTGCCTCCACTGTTTCCTTCCCCACCTGTTCCCAAGATTCCCATAAGAATTCCACTGGAAAACCGTCAGGACCAGGAGCTTTTCTCCGCGGCATAGTAGCAACAGTATCTCTGATTTCTTCCATAGACGGAACCTTCAACAATTGAGAGGCTAAAGAAGAGTCACACCTAAAGGGAAGCAGATTCTTAATATCCTCAACAGAAGGCGGAGTAACTCCTGAGTTTTCTGTGCCAAGGAGATTTTTATAGTAGGAGAGAAGCATATCCTTTATCTGATCTGAATTTTCTATCCTCTCACCATCTTCCCCTCTCAGATATTTTATTGAATTTCTCCCCTGGTTAGCAATGACTGATTTAAAGAAAAAAGCAGTGCATGCATCCCCATCCTTAGTCCACCTAATTCTTGACTTCTGCATGTAGAAAGTCTCCTGAGCTTTAGCGAAGAAGTTCCACTTTTTTCTTGCAACAAACTCCTCCCTGAACAAGGAATCCGACGGGTTACTCAACAACTCCTCTTGAACAAGCTCTAACTGAGCCAACGCTTCCTTTGTTTTCTGCTGAATATTTCCAAAGCCCTCCCTATTTAGCTCCCTGCAAGCAGCTTTCACTTTTTTCATTCTCTGCCCAAAGGTAAACAATTTACATCCCACAGACACCTCCTGATGCCAAGCAGTCCGGATAACCTCCTTGTATCTATGGTGAGTAGACAAGAAGGAAAAATATTTGAATGCCTTTTTTCTCCTTTCAATAGTGGAACTCAAAGACACTAAAGCTGGGGCATGGTCAGAATCCCCAGGAGGATCAAACACAGCAAGTGACTCTGGGAAAGAATCCCTCCAAGACTCATTCACTACCACTCTGTCAAGTTTCCTTATGATGGGGTCTTCCTGTCTACCATTAGACCAAGTAAAGAAAACTCCTCGACTAGGCAGATCATCCAGTTCATTATCCCCCAAAAAAGTCTGAAGCTCACTCATGCCTGCAAGAGGCAAGTGATGAGGTAAAACCGAGTAATGCTCACTTGCAGTTAATATTTGATTAAAATCCCCCATAACTACCAATGGTCTCTGATTAGCTGGAGAGTTCTGGACAATATTGGTCAGCTCCCTCCAAAGATCACGTCTCTCAACCACTGTATTAAAGGCTGGTTTTTGAACTTGATTGCCGGTTTATAATTTCCTCAACTCGATTGTTGGCTCTATCCTCTATCATCTTTCTTTCGTTCCTCTCTCCCTCAATCGTATAATAACCAAGTTCATGAATATTTTGAAGTCTACAAAAGCAGATTTTACGCATATGTCAAAAACTAAATACTAAATATTCTATTTGATCAAATTTTGAAGTATGTCAGAAATGCGTAGATTTTACTTATATTCCGTGAGACATAAGCTTTTCACCTTTTTTGTAAAATAACAAAAATCACATTGAAGACACTGTTTTTTTTTTTTTTTTTTTGAAATCGATTTCCTTTGTTCCTTAATTTTGAACATTATTTTACTTTATTATAAAAATCAAAGTATTTAACGTTTTGATCATCTTTGTATATATGTATTTCTTTTGATCCAGGGCAAGAGTTTCCCTTTTTATAGAAATAATTTTTGAATACCTCTTAAATAATATATTATATAAATGATGTGATCAAAAATATATATTTCTAAAAAATATTTAATAAATTATGGTGGATTAGTTTGGGTAATCCATAATTCTATTTTTGTAAGGTTATTAAAGTTTATTATTATTATTCTTATTATTAAAGTTTGTTTAGTTTAACCATCTAGATTCAAACTCATGTAATTCATGTTATTAATGAAAAGAAATAGTTTATACAAAGATAAAGAAACAAAATCATCTTTAAGTATTTTTCGTTTATCAAAACAAAAAAAAAAACAAATTGATACGTTTAACAAGTTTCCTTAACCATTCAAATTTGTTATTTCACATTCAATGAAATTTACTTTTCCTCTTTATAAACTTTACTTACATTCAATTAGTTAATACAAAAGAAAAAAAGTTTACAACAAATAGAAACATTGTTATCCTACATAAATCGGCGCACAGCCACAAATTGATAGGTTTATCATAAATAACATCTTCTAAACTGGGCTGCTTCATTTTGTGGGCTATACAAATATTGGTCACTCACATTCTCACATACTCGATCACAGGCTTCAACAGCCAACACGTGTCCAACAATGACCGATCCAACGATCACTGTTTCATCACAAGATCCTCAAGAGTATGTATTTTCATAAATGCCACTCCAACTTCAACGTCCGGATTCTGAATCTTTAAGTGAACGTCCCGAGTCCGATGATTTAAGCGAAGGAACAATAATACACGACCGTCCCGTACCTAAGAAAAGGTCAGAGAGGTAATTACCCAAATCTTCAGGGGCAAATCTGACTTCCTCCCAATTTTCAACGTGGTACTTTTCATAAAACGACGTCGCAACAGTTGTTAACTTCTTCGTCACGGAATCTTTTAAATCTTCTCTTAGTTTCGAATCCGGTACGACCCATTCGCTCTGTTTCTGAAACGCTTCCTCGAACGCTTCGTTAAACCGTTTCAACCGCTCTTTCGCCACGTTTTCTTCGAGCATTTCTTCGTTGGAATCGGAAAGCGATGTAATCACTTCTCCCCAAGCGATTTTCTCATATTTTTCGAGGTATTGAGTAACTTTTCCTTCGTGATTCGCTACCCATTCGTCCCCAAGTACGATTCTCAAATTCGATGTACGTACCTTGGAGATCACGTAATGCAGATTGTTGGCTAGGAAGAGATATGAGAGAGCCATGTCGTTGTACATACGAGATTTCGTGTCGATTTTACAGAGCAATACGAGGATTAGCCATGCAATTCTTGTGGTTACCGTAGAAGAAGATGAAGATCCGGTTTCTCCGTCCTTGTTGTGTTCGTCATTGTTCCCAAAGTAATCTTCCGGTAATGGCAACGTCGATTCGGTGAGAACTCCAGCGAGACATTCATGGTAATCCGCGAGGAAAACGATGAAATTCATTACGTACCTGTTGTGATTATTGTGAATTAGATCAACTTAAAGCGTTAAACAAATTGGAGAAAATCACCTTTTTAGGGTTTTTTTAGGGTTTATTTTCAAGTACCTTGTGAGCTGATGAACTCCGCCTCCAGGGATTGGAGATTTCGAAGATTCTTTTGTAATCGAAGCTTCGAATTTAGCCACCATCGAATTAATCTCTTCACCGAGATTCTTAAGAGAATCAGCGGCTTGTAATCGAACCGCAGAAGTCGAATCGTAACTGAAAATCTCTTCAATCTGGGGCATAAGCTGCGATATCGTTTGGTAAATATCGAGAGTAAGGAAGATTTTCTCGACGGTTTTCTTACATCTTGCAACACTCACGGGGAAGATAAAGAGAGTTAAAGCACTATCTAACGTAATCTCCGTGAAACAAGACTCCGCGACGGAAACAGACGGCGAGAAAACGTGATCGCAAAGGATTCTTTCTCCCTCGAACAAATTCGCGATAAGGACTTTCGTAGCTTCTAACCATTTCTTGATGTTCTTCTCCATACTATCCCAATCCAACTTTTGAATCTTACCAAAACTTAGATTCTCAAACCCTAAGTTACTCAACGCTTCAACCATGATTGATCCTCTTATCTTCTTGTAAATCTTGATACATTCGTTTTCGTAACCCGATGATATCATACAATCAGAGATCATTTTCAAATCCGTCATAACATCAGCTTCTTCAGATTTAGGAACTTGGGAATAAATTGACACTTTATTCCTTGCATTGAAAGATGGGGAAGACCGAACGGATATGGATTCCGGATCAAGATTCCGTCGATTCGATTTTAAAATCCGGTTAAAACTCTTTTTCTAACTGTTTCATAGCGATTGTTACAAGATTATGCGCTCTAGTGAGTTTTGGTGATTCAGGATTCACCAAAACCACTCCTTGAATTGCGTATTGTAAGCTGTTGATAACCTCGATGAATCGTCGTCCTTCTACGCGATTATCGGTGGAGAAAATCGAGGAGAGGGAGCAAGAAGATGAACTAGATAGATCGGGAGAAATCCATTTACGTGTGAGAGTTTCAGCTGCTTCAATACTATCCATTAGAAGAGACTCAGAGAAGCTTTGGTATGGACGTGGTTTTAACCTTCTTCCTAGAGTTGAAGACGGTTTAAATAGTAGCATCATTTTTGCTTTTGTTGTGTTTTTGTGTTTTTGTTTTCTTAGTTTTGTAAAATATGATAGAATCTGAAGAAGTGATGTTTGAGGTTTAATTTTTGTTTTGTTTTGGAGGTTCTAAGGAAGTATGTTTTTGATTTTTGATTTGACTATTTTTATGTTTGAGGTCTTTGATTCGAGTACATTTAAGCTTGTGGTTATCCTCCATTTGCTTTTTTAAAAAATGTAAAAATAGATTTGATTTTATTGTAGTCTAAGAATTTAGACAACTTTCTACTTGTAAAATAGCGAAAACAATGGATTTGGATACGTTAGTCTATTTACGATTTTGGTTTCTTTAAACCCTCAGTTATTTGAGACTGCTGTCTAAATGTAGAATGTATCTTACCATTTTTTAAGTAAAAAAGAAGGAGAAACGTCAAATATCAAATCTTAATTTCTTATTTATTTTCGACATATTATATCTTTAAAGAATCTAAATATAGAGAATCTAATTGTAAGAGTATCATGTTTAGAAAATCTACACTTCGGGGTTCGAGACTTCAAAAATACTACCACTACAAAAAATACGCTTGTTAACGTCATTTATATGAAAGGTTAACGTCGGTTTATAACTAACGTTAATAATAACTTAGAGTCGGTTTTCCAAATGACGTCTCATCGTCCGACGTAAAACTTTTTTACTTCATTTCAAAAACCGACGCAAAATGTAACGTCATAAAACTTGACGTCAGAATTTGTAAGTAACGTCGATTAATAAACGACGTAATGAAAGCATATTTATGTTTTCTCATTTATAGACAATTTATACTATATGTTTTTATCAAATCTAAACAAAACTTGCTATGAATTAATTTTCTTTTACTTAAAGTTAGAAAGACAATTGATCAAAATGATAATATTTATATTGTTTTGAATATATAATTTTACATAAAGCATAAATTTGTCCTTAAAAATATAAAATTCTGAAAAAGAATTCACAACATGTATTGACTGATGTATATATGTCTTCAAAGTGACCAAGTGTAGTATTCAAAGTTACTTGCACGAAGCCACGAAGTCTTTGTAAGCTGCCTTGTACGAAGTTCCAAGTTTATCTGAAAGAAAAAAAAAGAAGCAAAAAAGCTTTAAGATAAACTCAACATGAAAGGATATACTATTTTCAAGTGAAATCACAGCTATTTAAAATTATAATTAGGAAAGAGAGAAGGTACAAGTATCAAAAAGCAGATTATAGATTTCATAAGTGAGCTACTGAAATGATTTCCAATATAGCTCAATGACCATTCCTATTGGTGACATATCATGATATCCAAAACACACACAAGCAACATTCATAACTGTTATCTTTACATGTGTGGTAAACATGATTTTTAATTGAAATTTGGTCCAGTTCAAATATCATCTTCAATCCATATATATCATCATGTTCCAGTTCATAACATTTCACTAACAAATTTCTGATCAACTATTGACCCTACATCGAAATGGGTTGGTTTAAGTTTGTTTTGTCAAAGGAAGAAGACTCAGAAGCTAGACAATTTATAAAGTTTAATAAGTTTTACTTGATCTGTCTCAAGTGCAGAAAGATCCATCATGATTTGAGCAAGATCGTTTACTGATTCAAGAACGTAGACAAAGTGTGAGCACTTGCCTACTACAACTTTCTCCCTTTCTACTGATAATTCCTCTGCTTTTTTCTTATCTTGGTCATCTGATGCTCGTCAAACTGAAAAGAAGATTTCAGGTATATATTGCATCAATAAAGTACATACGAGGAATGATGGCCATAAACTGAAAGAATAAAACACATATAGAAGATGGACAATATCAAAGTCATCTTCTTCAGGTCTATATCTGTTTCTCCTCAGATTCATCTCTAAATTCATCCCATCAGGCTAATACATTTCAAGTCAAATGTGAATTAGTCATAATAAAGTTTTTATGCTCAAATGATGCCAAAGGGTTTCTAAGGATGTTGAGAAAATGTAGATGCACGATAAAGTTATTACTAAGTTAACAACTACTCCAATTCCTTTAACTTTTCAGATCAATATTCTTAAAAATTGAGTATTTGACAAACACATGAAAAGGAAAAATCAAATCAATAAGATCTCTTAAGAGATTGGAGAGAGTACAAAGAATGCATACCTTGAGGGATAAGATTCGTATGCAAGCTGCATAATGGCAAGCACCACAAATGTAAAGCCAATCATAGTTGTTTCTTCTACATAAACAATTAATTTGGCAAAATTAACTAATGATTTGAGTCAATAGAACCTTGAATAATGCAACAACTTTTCAAATCAGCGAACAAAGACTGAATTTTACCTGAATCTCCATGAAATTTGCAAAGAGATTGAAGCAAGCTGAAATCCAACCAAAAATTTCAAGTTCAAGCCAAAAAATCTACCTAGAAAACTTTCATGAATCCATCATCATAAAACCGAATCGAGAATCCTTGTTAGAGTAGCTATCAATCGAAAAACACGCAAATTCTTCAAAAATATTATACCATACGAATCTTATCGATCTCGAGCAATTGAAAAAGAGAAACTCTCGAGACAGAAATAGCAAACCACATGATCGGATTGAGCAATCGAAGATCGATTTCAAAGAAATCAGATGCAAAAGTAACAAATATCTTCGATTAGGTCATTGGAATCGATAGATCCATTGGCACACAAAAAGCTTCAAGATCTGCATTTTTTTTTCTCTGTAAGCGTTAGATCGATATTGATTCACTAAACTGATAAGTATTGGTATAATAAAATGTTACGTCGGTTAACCAAACGACGCTAAAACCCGTCCCATTTTAACATTTTACGTCGGTTTAAGAAATGACTTTAATAAACCGACGTCTCCAACCAGGTTTCTTGTAGTGTACTCTGTTTCATATTATAGGATGTTTTAGTCATTTTATTTTGTTTTACAATATAAAAAGTTTTTGAAAAAAAATATTCAAGTTTCTATGCAAAAAATAAATAAATTTACACAATTTTGACTATTTATATTTTGTAATATATTTTGTCATTGGTCAAATTAATTTTAGTTAGATATTAAGTAGTGTTTTTAATATAAAAAATACCAAACAAAAGAGATTAATTCATTTTTTAAACTTTGTGATTTTATGCAAAACATCTTATATTTTGAAACAGAGGGAGTAACAGACGAGTAACATTTTTGTTTGGTACGTTTTGTTCTGACAATTAAATATATCTAATTCAATATGGTGGTATATATGTTTGTTGTGTTGGATACTCTTAAATTTTCTTATATATATTTACTGAAATTAATACTCTTTAAACTAGTTTCATTGTAATCAATTTCATCATCAAACTCAATATTGATACTCTTTTAATCAATTTCATTATTGAGTTTGATACTCATATTGAAAATCGATTTTTATAACAAGATCAATAATTCATTAGAATTAATTAATAAAATTAACTGGAACAATAATTTAGTACATCACGAAAGCCATGATATATAATTATTTAATAAAAAATCACGTACATAGGAAAAAAAAAACTTTAGCTCTCCGATCCCCCCAACATATGGTAAAGATGATGATATTTAGACACAATCCTCTGTTTTGGAAGTCTGAATTTTCGAAGATCTGTTGATGTTTAGATAAAGTGTAGTAGCAATTCATTAATAAATAACTAATCTATAAAGAATGTAATAATGAAGTTGAGTTATATACAAAGAAATATATATAGAGTGTAGCAAATTACCTTGTTGACTATATATTTTGAATCTTTTTTGTTCTTGGCCTCAGATAAAAAAAGTATACAACACAAATAACCACAATGAAAATCACAATTGCTATGATGATTCTCATACAGGTTTCAACATCCACTGATATAACTTTCCTGCTCTTATGTTTTTTCTTCCAACCTGCAATTTATTTAAGTTTTTTTTTTTTTAATCATATCAAACTTAGTATACTAAAGGCTTAAGAATCTCTTATCAAAGGAAATTAAACAAAAGCAATTTTCTTTAGCGTACGTAGAGAAGCTTTTTTACTTTTGCTTGATGATCTCTGAGAAAATGCGGTATTCGCAACCACTTTTGAGCCATGGAGTAGAGCTTGAGGACTTGAAGCTTTTACTACATCTTCAACAACGGTCATAGGCGATCCATGATCATTCGTAGCCATAACATATGATTCATCGTCATGTCTAGACAAAAAGAAAGCATAACAATATGTTTGTATTTAGTTGCAACCAAAATGAAACAAGTGAAATCTAGGATTATGAGGTGTTCTTACTTCGAGACATCATATCTTCTTGAAAGAGAATATCCGGAAGTTAAATAGAGAGAGACGAGTACAAGGAAGGCCATGAGAGGAAACTTGGAAGCCATTGAAGTCCTTGTGTTTAATTTGCAAATGTGGAAAATATACAAACAAATAGGAAAGAAGACTTCCCCATATATAGTCACTAGGGATTGCCTACGCATGGGTTTGATATTAATATCATGAAATACATATTTGTGCACACACAAAAAAATGCTAAATATTTTTTGAGCTGCTTTTAAGATTTGACTATTTGTGTATTTAATTTTATGCTACATGTATATTTAGTGTTTATAGTATCTTGAAAATAAATGTTAAGATATATTTTGTGGATTTCTGAATTGATTGAATTCATTTTTTTCTTACATAGATTATCGTTATAATACATTAACTGTTTTTTTTCTAATAGACGTAAGTCTTTACTTATCATGTCGTTAAAACGGCATACCGTTTCTATGACAATAAAAATATGAAAAAGATTGTATGAATTAATATATAACATCTCTTGATTTATGTAACTATTGGACATTTTATATATATATATATATATTTACATTTTAGTATCTGGCGATAGCGTATATTATTAGTAAGAGTCTGAAGTTTATACAACTAAATTATTTTGCTATTGAACATGAAATCATTTCTTCAACTTCTCCACATATTTAAGCTCCTCAGCAAACTTTGATCGTCTCTTAAAAACCTGATTCTATAAGAAAAGTTTTTGGTTCTCTTTAAATTTGCTAAGCAACCAAAACAAAATCTACTATAGCCTTGTTCTCTTTGTAATCGATGAGTCAGTGTTCGGCCTCAAAAAATTATAACTTACTTGCATGTCAAGTATATGCCCAGCTAATTTAACTATACGATGAAAGTCTTTATAATTAGATAATAAGTGTATTTATCAGAAACAGCAAAACTTACTTTTTGTTCGACAAAAGCTTTCTCTATAATCTGGAGGACAAGAGAGCTATCACCCATTCCTGAAAAACATAAGCACACAAGGTTTGTAAGTGCTTTAAATGTTGTCTCCCGCTGCTCATCACACTCAATCCCCGTCTTTGCAGGGACAACTTTGAAACGCGCAATTAAAGTGATGAAGAAGCTAAAATGATCTGTAATCTGAATATATCCATCTCTATAGGCAATGTGAAGAATTTCCACTATCCGATACAACACAGCTGGTTTAAGTTGTTCATCTGCAATATACGGTTTTTCGGTCATCAACTTTTATAAAGTTTAGTCATCAAGAAAGGAAAGAACTGTGAGATACTCACATAAACAGCATGAAACTATTGCTTTCAGCATAGGGGAGCTGAAATGGTCTATGGTAACTTTTGGTGTTTTTAATCATTTATTAACAGAAACTCAATATACTAGCTTGAATTTTGACTATCACAGCTATCTCACAGGAAGGTAGAAATCATAGGTTTAAAAACGTAATACAAGAAATTTCAGGGAGTGAATTAAAAAAATAGTAGCCAATAATTGGAGGATTAATAACATACCGGTTTACAAAACAAACCGGAAATCACACTAAACTCGGTATTTGCCTAAAATAATAAAGAGTCATATTAATTAAACCAAGAGATGATTTTACACATGTGATTCGAACGAAATCTGTAACTTGTAATTTGAAATTTTGTTTTAACGGACAAAATTTTTCAGATTAGGGGGGAAAATTCCAATTTCAATTCAAATCCAAATGTATCTAACGGAATAATTAATCCGGGGTAGTTTAGTAATTTCGTATCAATTAGCCTTAACCACTACAAATAGAATTTTCTGGTCACCGACTCAAAAAAACTTGGTCTCTACGAATCAAATGATCAAATTCATCAGAATCAACCTGTTTCGGTTCAAGCCGGTGATGAATCTGGGGACGAGAACGCAATTTGGGGCGAAAATCCTTGTCTCCGCCGTCAAGAGAAGCGTGTGACTGAATCGGAAAACTCTTCCGATTACAACGCAAAACAACAATCAGGTATATATATAATAAACCCAGTTCTGATCGATTTTTAAGTTTGTTTTTGATTCATCGATTGTTTCGTTTACTTCATAATTCTCTTCCGATTATTCAGAACAAAATCATGTAATTGAATCTGGTTCCGTTGCTTCAAATGTATCACAAATTCTTCTGATTACGCAAAATAAGGTTAGTTCTCACAAATTCTTTCTTCGGTTTTACCTTTTTTTTTATCCATTTATAGTAATCTGTTTAGCGATTTAGAAGAATCAGTGAATTTTGTAGTAGTGTGATGATGATGATGATGATGATTGATGATGATCTTCAATTTGTCTCCGTTTATTGCTAGTTTTTTCTCTGGTTTCAACCATGTAGGGTTTTTGAATAACGTTGGTTACATGTGTTTTGATTAAGAAAATCTAGCCATTTAGAACTATTTGTGATCATTTTTCTCTGTTTAGTGGCTCTAGTGTTTTGGTGTCCCTAAGATATATTACCTGATTCTCAAAATCTATATCTCTATTTCAGAGCTCTCGTGAACATAAGATATAGTTAAAATGTAAGATTCTGTATAGTTTAAAGCCTTTTTTGTATTTCATTCGCTCTATGTTACTCCATTAGTTGCTGAATTACTAATAAATGTCATTGCTTTCAAGTGCAGAGAACAAAAGGGAGACTATTTCGGTAGCCAAGACATACAATGGAACTTTTGACAAAGGTTTTCAAGATGAAGGATTGTTTAGCTTCAGAGAAGCTTTGAAGACAGTTCAGTAGCCAACAAAGGTATGGTTAAGTAACTCTCTCTCTCTCTCTCCCACTTATCATGTCTCTGGCACTGTCTCAAAAACTGAGCATAAATCCACGAAAACCCAAACTCTAACGCACAAAAAAATAAATCAAACACACAAAACACAAAACCAAAATCACACAAACAAAAAACATAGCACACAACGTCCACACATAACTTAAAGAAACATAAAACAGAACATAAATCCACGAAAACCCACACTCGAACAAACACAAAAAAAAAAAATCACACACACAAAACGAAATTGAAACACACAAACAAAAAACATAGTACACAACGTCCAAACGCAACTTCAAGAAACAGAAAACAAACTTTCACATGAATTTTTTAACAAAAAGTGTGAATAATCACATTTGATGGCAAGAAATTGCGTTGTGACTGTTCCCTTATTTCTTACTTTCTTATCTACTTGCTTTAGTATAGCTTGTATTAACTTATATATATTTGAAAATGCTTTCGTGTACACGAGCATTGTTTGCAGTTTAAACCAGGTTTTCATAAGAAAGAGCAAATGTTTCAGATATGTTTCAATATACTCATGACTCACAAGGTAATCTTGTTAAACCTTTTTCATCGTTTGAAACTCTTTTCTATTAGAACCAATGCGACTTTATGTAAACCCACTTTAATATATGTTTTAAGTATTCAGGGGTTTCAGTTATAATCTTACATTTATTCAGAGGATTGCTCCGACCGGGTATCAAAATTAGAGAAAAGGTTCGTGCCTTATAGCATTGTGTGATTCTGTCTGTTTGATGTAGACATTGTTCCTTATTTTGTGTATAATATCCTTTAAATTGGCTTGAATGATGTTTAACTTGCAGGAATAACTTTGTGTGAGCCTGCTGATGTATGAGAGTTGATAAAGAGACTTGAAGAAGGTAAGCTTTTGTGACGAATTGGTAAAGCATTTTCTAGATTCTGAACCTGGATTTATACTGAAACTCACAGTTATCCATTTTCTCACAGTTATCCATATTAATGCAGTTCACGCCATAGAAAGCATAAATTCAACGTATAAAGTGAATAAGGTTTGGACTGGTGGACTTGCACTGAGAGGTACAATTTCTTGTCAAAACCCCGGAACCGTAGTCATCTTTATAAGACTATCTGTGTCTCTACCAGTTTCTGAAGCTTGTTAATGTCCTCTCTGTTTCCAGTGTGGATGTACAAAACATTTGTCACATCATTCTCATCGTTCCTTGGTTGTGATATACATCATGCGAAGGGAAACAAATATAAGTAAGCACATTTGTGTCCGTTTTTTGCTAGTTTTTATTGGTTGTGATATGCATCATGCGTAAGTAACTAACTATATCAGCGTGTGGTTGGTTTCTAATGTATTAAGGTTTCCATGGCTGATTTGTTCTACAGATGGCACTCTGCTGGAACTTTCGATTGTCAGTCAAGGACTGGAGGTCTAATTAGAACAATGAGGTGTGATTCTGAGCCAACAGTGGTATCCACATTGCTCTTAGGTTGTTGGACCTCATCAGGGAGCAATTCCTTACTATCTCTTTTGCTGATTTCCATCAGTTACATGATTTTAGATTTTTAAAAAGCACTCTTTGGGTTTGGATTCTAACTCTCGATGTCCTTTTGGTGTGAAATTGATCTTTCAGCTTGCTGGTGTTGTGGCCGTTGAAGTTACTGGTGGCCCTGGAAGAGAGGTTAATCATTGCTGAGAGTTTATGTTCTGCTTTCTTTGTAGAGATGGCTGATTGATAATATAGACATTCTCTCAATACTTATAATACTGAAACACTGTGGGACTTGATTGTCTGTTTCTAACATGCATATCTTGCTTTCAGGACATCCCCAGCCACCTCCAGAGGGTCGTCTTCCTGATGCTACAAAGGGTTTTGATCACTTGAGTGATGTATTTGCTAAGGAGATGGGCTTGTCTGACAAGGACATTGTTGCTTTTTCTGATGCCCACATTCCTATTTCTCCATTTCAGAGCTAACAACACTTGTGAAAAAGGTTCATATACGTAAGATGTAGTTAAAACTAAACAATTCTGTAATCTTTTGCTGGTTTAGTTCATAGTCTTTTGCATTTTATTCGATCTATGTTACTCTTTTTTGTTGCTGACTTACTAATAAAGGTCATTGCTTACAAGTGAAGAGATCCTTAAGTTGCAAAGCCCAAAAGGGAGACGATTCGCTAGCCAAGACATACAAATGTTAAGGTAAAGTCTCTTCCTCTCTCTCTCTCCTTTACCGCAATTAGACACCTAGGATATAGAGGCTTGCACTATCCCAAAAATGTTTACTTCCGTACCATTCTATATCTCTTACAAAACGTTTGTCTGTTTTCTTTTTAATCTTTGAATAAGAACTACATAAGGTGAACTACAGAAGATGAAGCTGACTTGCAATTTCCAGCAGCTTCCAACAATGATATTACCGTTAAGATAATATGAGCTAAGGAAGCAACTAATTGTCGACATGGAGGATTCTGTAAGTTTGTCATTTTGTTTTATGATCTTCTGAATTTAAGTTATTCGTTCTATGTTTAAGCTGCTTGTTATTAACAAATGTTCTTTGGTTTCAAGAGCTTTCTTAAGTTGAAATGGAAATTTTGACAAAGGGTTTCAAGATGAAGGATTGTTTAGCTGCAAAGAAGCTTTGAAGACCATTTACTAGCCACAAAAGGTATGGTTAAGTAGCTCTCTCTCTCTCTCTCTCACTTATCATGTCTCTTGCTCTGTCTCAAAAACAGAGCATCAATTCATGAAAACACACTCAAACGCACACAAAAAAAATCAAACACACAAAAATTAATTAAAGTCACCAAAACAAAAAACAAAATTCAAACGCACAAACAAAAAAACATAGCACACAACGTCCACGAGCAACTTCAAAAAACAGAAAACAGAACATAAATCCACGAAAACCGACACTCGAACGTACACAAAAAAAATTCAAACACACAACAATTAATTAAAAGTTACACACAAACAAAAAACATAGCACACAACGTCCAAACGCAATTTCAAAAACAGAAAACAGCTTTCACAGATTAATCACATCGGATGTCAAGAACTTGCTTTGTTCCCTTGTTTCTTACTTTCTTATCTACTTGCTTTAGTATAGCTTGTATTAACTTATTTTTATCTTCAAGCGAAATGCAAACATGCTATATAGTTGAAAATGCTTTCGTGTACATGAGGATGGTTCTCAGTTTATACCAGGTTTTCATAAGAAAGAGCAAAAGTGTCGGATGCGTTTCAATATACTTACTCATGAATGATAAGGTAATCTGTTAAACCATAAATGTGACTTTATGTAAAACTACTTTAATATATATTTTAAGTATTCATGGGATTCAGTTATAATTTTCCCTTTATTTTGAGGATTGCTCCGACCGGTTATCAAAATTAAAGAAGGTTAGTACTTAATAGTATTGTGTTTTCTCATAATTAAGTTGTGTGGTTATGTCTGTTTGATGCAGACATTGTTCAGTATTTGGTGTAACTTGCAGGAATTACTTTGTGTGAGCCTGCTGATGTATCATTAAGGAGTTGACAAAGGTAAGCTTTTGTAACGAATTGGTAAAGTGTTTTCTTAGTTCAAAACTATTTGAGATAAAGATGCAACCAAAACATATATTTTCACTTTCTTTTTGATTCTGTTTAGGCATACCGATCAAGAGTGGGTGACAAGAGGGATGCTGTTTCTGAAATCTTCCTATCTTGCTTTCAATTAGTTTCTGGAAGTGCTTTAGGTCCAAAGTCCTGGCGTTGAGAACTAGATGATGGAGAGAAAGAGAAGCATGGATTTCTATCTGGTTAGAATTATACATGCAAGTCCTTGTTTTTCATTTTCCATTGCATTGGCCTCGAACCTTGATTTATACTGAAACTCACAGTTATCCATTTTATCTTGTTAATGCAGTTCACGCCATAGAAAGCATAAAATCAACGTATAAAGTGAATAATGTTTGGACTGGTGATCCTTTCTCTCCAAGACTATTCCCTTGGGAAGGTACTTCTAATTACCAAATCAAGTCCCTGTAAGTCATTCATTTCAACCAGACAATAACTTATTTTTGTAATCTCCCTCTCTGATAATTCTTCTGATCAGCTTGTTTTTGTTTTTCTTGATGCGAGAATGAATCTTAGTTCAAGTGGGTTACAAGGACCAATAGCCTTCTCCTTTAGAGATCTCTCCCTCGAGTTATTGTAAGTATACAAATGCAAGCCATACACACACGCTTTCCACATCCTTTTCTTTTTGTGCAAATCTTCCCACCTCTTTATTCACAATATATATAAGAGTCGTGTGCATTGTTTTCCCAAGGATATCAAGCAACAACCTGATAGGGGATTTTTGGACAGATCTAAAGTATCTGATGTTCTTTAAGGTTGACCCCATAGAGAGGCTTTTCGTTTGACAGACATTTGAGATTTAAAAGGAAATAACTTGGATGGGTTTGTCCCAAGATCTATTAGGAAAAGAAGAAGGGCTGGTGGACTTGCACTGAGAGGTACATTTTTTTGTCAATACCCGGAACCATAGTCATCTTTGTCAATTTCCTCTCTGTTTTCAATGTGGATGAACAAATATTTGTTGTCACTCACGTATAGTTGTAGCCACATTAGTGATCATTCTCATTGTCGCCTTGGTTGTGATATGCATCATGCGAAGGGAAAGAAAAGAAGTAAGCACAGTTAGTCTTTTACATAATTTAAACGGTTAATAAAAGTCAGAATTAATTGTTGAAAGCAAGCGAGTGTTTTAGTTTCCTACTGTATTCGGGAGCTTAGACATTGTTTTATTGTTGCTAAAGTAGAAAATGTTTGCAGGAGGAGCGAGCTCTTTTTGACAGTGCATCATCGGAACTTGTAAGTTTGTCATTTTTGGTTTAAAGATCTTTGGAATTCAAATATATGTTCTATATTTAAGCTGCTTGTTATTAACAAGGGTTATTTGGTTTCAAAAGCTTTCTTAAGTTGAAATGGAACTTTTGACAAAGGGTTTTAAGATGAAGGATTGTTTGGCTGCAAAGAAAATCATTCAGTAGCCAACAAAGGTATGTATGGTTAAGTAGCTCTCTCTCTCACTTATCATGTCTCTTGCACTGTCTCAAAAACAGAACATAAATCCACGAAAATCCACACTCAAACGCACACAAAACTAATTTAAAGTCATCGAAACACAAAACGAAATTCAAACACACAAACAAAAAATATAGCACACAACGTCCAAATACAACTTCAAGAAACAGAGAACAGTACATAAATCCACGAAAACCCACACTCAAACGCACACAAAAATTAATTAAAAGTCACCAAATCACAAAACGAAATTCAAACGCAACTTCAAGAAACAGAAAACAAACTTTCACAGGAAATTTTTTAACAAAAAGTGTGAATCACATTTGATGTCAAGAACTTGCTTTGTGACTCTTCCCTTATTTCTTACTTTAATATCTACTTGCTTTGGTACAGCTTGTATTAACTTATTTACTTCTTCAAGTGAAATGCAAACATGTTATATAGTTGAAAATGCTTTCGTGTACACGAGCATTGTTTGCAGTTTAAACCAGGTTTTCATAAGAAAGAGCAAAAGTTTCATATACGTTTCAATATACTCATGAATGATAAGGTAATCCTGTTAAACCATTTTCATCATTTTAAACTCTTTTCTATTAGAATTAATTTAACTTTATGTAAAACTGATTATATGTTTTAAGTATTGAGAGGTTTCAGCTATGATCTTCCATTTATTCAGAGGATAGCTCCGACGGGGTATCCAAATTCTGCCTCAAAGTTAGAGAATGGTAGTGCTTAATAGTATAGTATTATATATGTTTTTTTTTCTTCTCATAATTAAATTAACATTGTTCTTTTGTTCATTATTTTGTGTCTAATTAAATTAACATTGTTCTTTTGTTCATTATTTTGTGTCTAATGTCCTTTTAATTGGCTTAATTGATGTGTAACTTGCAGAAATAACTTTGTGTGAGTCTGATGATGTATCTATTAAGGAGTTGATAAAGAGACTTAAAGAAGGTAAGCTTTTGTAACGAATTGGTAAAACAGCTGAAGTTATTGATACAGCTGCTTCGCCTAAATGTGATTATGAACCTCTGGAATTGTCCTAGACATCAGGCTATCCAAATACTCAGTTCTATACCTACCTTTATTTTGCAGTTGCGAGCAGAAAAATCAAGATATCCACAGCACAATCTCTGAATGAATTTTCCACCACCATCAAAGACGGTGTGTTGTGTTCATCTTTACTTTGTTAGTTGACTAGCTATATTCTGAACCTTGATTTATACTGAAACTCACAGTTATCCATTTTCTCTTGTTAATTTAGTTCACGCCATAGAAGGCATAAAATCAATGTAGAAAGTGAATAAGGTTTGGACTGGTGATCATTGCTCTCCAAGACTATTCCCTTGAAAAGGTACTTCTAATTACCAAATCAAGTCCCTGTAAGTCCATTCATTTCAACCAGACAATAACAAATTTTTGTAATATCACTCAAGGATAATTCTGCTAATGAGCTTGTTATTGTTTTTCTTGATGCGAGAATGAGTCTTAGTTCAAGTGGGTTACAAGGACCAATAGCCGTCTCATTTAGAAATCTCTCCTTTTTTGTGTCATTGTAAGTATACCCTTCTTGTCTCATTCTGAAGTTCTTTTGGTTTAGTAAGTTTTATTTCTTTGGCTATAATTTGGTTGTATTAATTTTATCTTGCTCAAACTCAAAGTACATAACAAAAGGTTTTTTTTTTTTGGAGGCAAAGAATTTCAATTTGGAGATGACTTGGTGAAGCCAAGAACAAGCGGCCCTTGGATGATGTAACTGAGTTACGGTAACTATCTTTTACCTCTCATAAAAAAAAAACACAAACACGGCCAAAAAAGTTTCTTACACTCGAAACATTACATTTAAAAACACAAACCCACGAAAACATAAAACACACAAAACAAAAAATCCACGTGCACACAAAAATGCAAAAACAAACTCCACAACTTCACGTTCACGAATCACGATTACATAAACTCCACAACTTCACGATCACATAGAATTTTGCTTCCTCTGCAACACAATTTCAATTTTGATTTTTTCACAATGACTTGTATAATTTTAACTCAATTCTTCTTGTTTTAATGTTCTTTTCCCAATGTATTTTGAGCGTCAGTGAACTTGTAAAGTTTCTTGTTATCAGTTATTACATTTTTTAAGTTGTTTGTTTTTTTACATAGAATTTTTGTAATTAGGATATCAATGTTCTTGTTGTAATTCTTGTTTTTAATATTCTCTTTGCAATGTATTTTCTGAGCGTCATTAAACTTGAAACTGTAACTTATATAGTATATCACTAATTTTTTTATAAGAAAAACAAAGTAGATAATTCAATTTTAATCGTATCGTTTCCATTGCAATCGCAAACTAATCAAAATAATCACACCAATATTATTTACTGCTGCAATATCATTAATCACAAACTCACACGTGTGTCAAACATAAGAACCCGAAGAATGGACTGACGAAACACTCCCTGATCCACGAGACCCAAAATACAAATCCGAAAGATAATTCCCAATATCCTCAGGGGCAAATCCGACATTCTCCAATAACCCGACCCGATACCTTTCACAAAACTCCGAATATCTCGGTATAATCATCATCCCCACAGACCGTTTAATCTCATCTCTCAATTTCGAATCCGGTACAACCCAACCGGTTTGCCTCTTATACGCTTCCTCAAACCCATCACTAAACCGTCTAATCCTCTCCTCCACCGTCGTCACATCATCAGAAAGTGACGTCATCACCTCTCCCCAAACAATCTCCTCAAACTTTCCGGCGTACTTCTTCACCTTCCCTTCATGCTTCTTAACCCAATCCTCACTCAAAACCATCTTCAGATTCGACGATCGGACTTTAACAACAACGTAATTAAGATTATTAATCAAAAACAGATACGAGAGAGCTACGTCGTTGTAGAGACGAGACTTCGCGTCGATTTTGCAGAGTAAGAACAGAATCAGCCACGCGATTCGCGATTTCACCGGAGACGAATCACCGGAGTTTTCTTCTTCCGGTGAAGGTAACAACGGTTTCGAGATGATATCGGAGAGTGTATCACTGTAATCAGCGAGGAAGACGATGAAATTCATCACATACCTAGTCAATTGATGAATTCCACCACCGGAGATCAACGATTTCGATGATTCTTTCGAAATCGAAGATTCGAATTCATCGATCATGGAAATCACACCTTCTCTGAGATTTGATAAAGTTACAACGATTTGTGATCTGACGGTGGAGGTTGAATCGGAGCTGAAGAGTTCATCGATCTTAGGCAATAGATCGATGATTGTTTGATAAACATCGAGAGTCAGAAAGATCTTCTCCGGTGATTTTCGACATTTCGCCATTTTTTCCGGGAAAGTAAACAAAGCTAAAGCGCTTTGTAATGTGATTTCTGCAAATGCAGATTCACGAATCGATGATGATGATGAAGAGAAGACGTGATCGGAGAGGATTCGTTCGCCGGAAAACAGAGTATTCACTGCTCTTGTTGTAACTCGTAACCATTTTCGTATCTTCTTCTCCATAACTTCCCATTCAAGTTTCTGTATCTGCGAGAACGTTAGATTCTCGAATCCGAGTTGGTTTATCGCTTCGACGATGATCGATTTACGGATTTTCTTGTAGATTTTAAAGCATTCTTTGCTATATCCGGATGATATCATACAATCCGCGATCATCTTTAAATCATCCATGACATCGGAGTCGGAATCGGAAGCTTTTGAAGAACGGATAGAGACGGATTCGGGGTCGAGGTAGCGTCGATTTGATTTAAGAATGCGGTAAAACTCTTTAGAGAGATGATTCACGGAGATTCGCATTAGATTCTCGGCTTTGACGAGTTTCGTTGACGTTGGATTCACTGAGATTAGTCGAATCATACCGGTGTGTAAGTTGTTTACAGTGTTGATGAATCGTTTGGCTTCTTCGCGGTTTTCGGTTGAAAATAGCGATGAGATGAAACGGAAAGAAGAAGAGTCTACGAGTTCCGGTGAAATCCATCGATGTATGATAGATTCGGCGTCTTCGATACTATCTTCCATTAAAGACTCTGAGAAGCTTTGGTGTGAATGTTGTTTTAGCTTAGAAGAAGAAGTTGTTGATAAAGCGAAGAGTACCATTTTTGTATGTTTTATGTGTAAATGATTTCGTTTGGAATTAGTATTTATAGTGGTTATGTTCTGTTTTTATGATATGATTCTTTTGACTTGAGTATTTTTTATTTGAATTATGTGTATAGAATAACAAAAACGTGTGACAATGACATGTTTCGCGTTTACATACTTTTTACATTAGTTTAGAAAGATTCAGCGTGGGTTTTAAAACTCATCGAATAATTTATGTAGTAGTGTTGTGTCCATGCAATGGAATAGATCATAGAAGAATTGGTGAAAAATGAATTTGTTAAATAGTATTTATTGCGTTTGTTAAACCTATATATAGGTTTTAGACGAGACGAGTTTTAGGACTCGGCCTCAATCTTCGTTTACTAAAATCAAGAATAAATAAATAGGCTCATAAGTCATAATAATAACGAAATAATGAAACTATATTGTTCATCAAACTCAAATGACCAAAATGGAGTATATTAAACCACCACTTGTTTTCCTACAATTTAAAATTTTTTAAAAATGTTACTTATAATTCAAATTCATCAAAAAAAATTAGATTTTTTATCCGACAATGTTCTTGGAAATCATTGTAAATTGATTGTTGGGAGTAAATAAACAATCTCGAGAAATGTGTATGTTGTGTTTTATCACATGTTTGCTTACCATTAATGGATTTTTATTTTTGAATGCTTTTTTTTTTTTTTGAATATTAAGAGGTTCTGGACCAAAATTTATAATCACCCAGACCCGAAACCACATCATGTAATATTAGTTTCGTCCCAAACGTCATTCGGGTCGGGGCGACCTCTAAGCTTCGCCTAAGGTCTTTACCAGTTGAAGTAACGACATTTGGTCAATAACGCATAAAATGCGTTCTAGATGAAATTAACGCATAAAATCGATCAATAAAAGATCACATGTAAGCTAGATATACCCACATATTATGACCTAATTGATCATTACATAACTGAATAAGATTATCTCCAACAATAATCATCACAATTCTTATTTTTTTGAAATGTAAACCGACCATAGCATTTACATTAATTACGCTATAACGTAGGTTTTGTATGTATACAATCACGGACGGTGTAACATGGTTTATTTTTACATACAGTAAAACCTCTATAAATTAATAATGTTGGGACCAGAAAATTTTATTAATTTAGAGAGGTATTAATTTATCGATAAATTAATAATTATTAATTTATAGAGAGATTTTACTAATTTTGTAATTTTTTAAAGAAATTTCTATCTATAAATAATTTTTTTCTTTATAAACAATATATTTTAAAAACTAATTACAAGTAGAGAAACAATTATCAAGTTTAAAAAACAATACAAATTTTTTTCGAATAATAGAGTCATATTTCATCAAATTTTTTACATATAATATTTTAAATATATATGATAGTAATTCATATATAACATATAATATATATATATATATATATATATATATTGATAAGTTAATACAATTATTAATTTATGATATAGATGGGACCATATATTTACATGAGATTTTTAAAAAATTTATTATCTTATTAATTTATCGATTTATTTCATATTTTACACTGGTCCCAACTCGGGACCGGAAGAATTTATTAATTTAGAGAGGTTATTAATTTATAGAGTATTAATTTATAGAGGTTTTACTGTACTTGGCTGTTTCCGTTTACACATATCCACAGAGGGCAATTCAAAACTAATTCTTTGTAAATTATTTAAAGTCAAAGTACCAATTCTTGTATACCAAAATTTTGTCGAGAAAAATACTAATTTCTCTACAATCCAACTTTGACTATCTTTCACTATTTAATCAAATTCTAATACATGTATGCAGTATTTTATACAAAGAATTTATACTTTCAATGGCTTAACTTTAAAGGAAATTATTTTCAAGTAAGTTCACGGAAAACGAATCCATTGCCTAATATTTCATCTAGCCGTCATTAATTATGGTGAGTCATTTGACATTTTTGAGTCATTTCCCATGCAAACGAGGGAAAAGGACCAATAATATTACATTACAAATAAGTGATTAAACAAATGAAAAGTAAGACCATTCGTGTATTTATTTGGTCATATCTTGTGGAAAATATATATACTTACGTTTCTTCTTCTCAAGTCACCTAAACCATTACACTAGACGCGTCGATGACTAAGCTTTGATGAAATACAAAAAGCTTGTTTGTTTAAGTAATTTCAAAACTTATTTGCATCAATAAACAACATTAATTACTTGATGATACTATAATATCTAGACCTTGTATAATTGTTTTTTTTCCACAATAAGAGCAGTTTCTATTTTCTGCTAAAAAGAAAATCAATTAATTATGTACCACACTATGGACTAACAATGTACTGTAATATGACTGATTCTTCAATTCGTCGGATATCCATTAATTCCCCAATATTGAAATTTGATTATGTTTTATTAATTACAGCTGGAAGACAAAATTACATTATAATGGTTATACAACTCCGCGTTAATTTAATTACTTCGCGTAATCCTATATTGATGGTTACAAAATGTCAATACAATGAATCGACATTACTTGTCTCTTTCTTCATTTATATCCTTACATTTTAAAAAACCACAATGAATCCGTGTCACATTTGTTTTATCCTTAATATCGAAAAAAAGTAATGGATTTTCAAAATCACATTTGTTCTACCTTTGTCCCAAAATGGTCTAGTAAGACCTGTCTTGTAGTTGTAATTAAGAATTATGAAAAGTTGTAAGAATTAGTTTTACACCACTGAAAGAAAACGTAAAATAAAACATTATTACTTTACTTACTTGTTTTAGTCCATTTATAATTTGATGTCTTTCTATTAGCGGCGACAAATAATCACTTGACCATCAAGGCTGTAAAAAAAAAACAAAATCAATGGACCATCGAGTTTTGAACATCTCTTTTTTCCTACTAAAACAGATTCTAGATTTTATTTAATTCTTGATATAAATCCTTTTTTATAGATAAAATAATCGAGTCATCACTTTTAGTCTTTTACATGTATGTACGGGAACTAACAGAGATGATGGTTTTATTTATTACTATTAATCATGCATAATATGCAAACTACATTTGTATCCTTTTATTTTAATTTGGTTTGAGAGTAACTTCAAGTAATATGCTAATGCTAGTCTGTTATGAAATCTGACACGATGGTCAATAGAGATTTTACTTTTTCTATCGACCTAATTTAAGTTTTTCTTTCGCAAATTAATAAATATACCCTTTTGGATAAAGGTTTTATACTGGAGGAAATAAAGAAGCATACAAGAGTAAATCTTATAGGGTAAAAAAAAAAAATCTTATAGGTTTTTGAGTTTTTACTTTACCCAAAACAAAAAAAAAACTATTATACGTTTTTCTAAAATGTTTAAGTCGTCTTTTATTCACATAGATCACCAAAATGAATTTGGCTTATTTTTGTTAACTGTTTTTGCTATATGCATCTACACCAAAAGCGCACAGTTACATTTGTCAAATCGTCGGGCTTTAAGTTAGATAAAAAAAAGTAACATAAGACAAAATCATAAATGTCACATCCATAAACAAATTATTATTATTATTTTTTTTATTTTTTTTTATAAACAAAAATATTGTGAGACGCGTTAGATGTGATTATAAAATAACTATAAATAAAATAAATATGTAACTTTTTTCCTTTGTTGAATAATTAGTTGTGATGACAAAATTTGCATAGCAAGTTCAAGTTTAGTGGGATGCCTTTCGATTAGGAAAACGACTCTTCGACGAGGCAACTTTACTTTCGTTTCTGCTTTGTTAGTTAAATCATTAAGTAAGGAATCAACTAATCAAATAACCCAACAAACGTCTTTGGCAGCTGACACGTAGTAAATATTAAAAAAAAAAAAGGATTTATATATAATTTTATGATATATGAAATTGATAATCACTTGTTTAGTGTTAAAACTATTCTCAAGAGTGACTCTTCAACATTGTTTAAATGTGAACAATGGTTAGTGTTAATTACACGGACTTGTTTTTCGCTTTATTGGCCGTCCATAAATCTGCTTTATAGGAATGGGTTTTATTTAGTTATCAATTACATGCTTTGAGTCTACTTACTAAATTTAATATTACTAGATTTATTTACTTTCGTCATATTTGATTTCTTTTACAGGATGCATGGATCTTCTTTTTTTGACAAAAAAATAATAATGTAGGACGGATTTGATATTTTCAGTTATGTTTATGCACTTAATTTTTCCTTTTTTTGCAGCGGTGAATTATAGTGTATATACTATAAATCCGATTTAGTTGATTTATTATTTGTCGAAACATTAGACTATGTTCATTGGGAATAGTTTTGAAAAATATTAGACAATCTCTGGATATATTAAGTATTAACCAGTCAAAGACTACTTGTTTTTTCTTATCAGAAAAAGACTATTTTACTTACATATGGGCAAAGAATATATAAAGACGAGAGAATCGACAAAATTAAAAGAAAAAAAGGGGAGAAGAAGAAGAATTATGCAATGTTAATGGTTCTTGTCAATATGCATATACATATTTATTTAAATTAATTCATCTTTGCTATATTATATTTATGAGTGGAGTGATTAGTCTTTGAACAGATTTTGTAGGGCAATTATAAAAAAAAAAAACACTGTCTTTCCTCAAAGTCACTGGAAAGATTCATTTTGTTTCCTCTTTTCTTTTAAAATTTTACTAGGTTGAAACCCGCGCTCCGCCGCGGGATATTTTTAAATGATTTTTTTTAATATTGAAGAAATTTAAATTGGAGAAATGATTTTAATTAAATATTTAATAATTAAATAATTTGAAGGCAAAAAAAGAACCAAATCAAATTTGAATGTTAAACTGAGATCAAACCGTAAATCAATTTTAGTATTCAGATAAAATTTGTATCCTGAAAAAGTCTGAAAACGATCATTTTTTTCTAGAAAAACAGATGAACAAAGGAGAGAGATAGATTAGATAAACAGTTAAACGGAGAGGAAAAAAAGGAAGACCTTTGCTTTCATATCTGAAAGACTTTCACTAATGGCAGCCAATAAGAGACGATTGTTTCACTGTATGTCTAAAAGAGTTTTCATCACCGGAGTGCGGGGGAGCTATGGCGGTGTTCAGCAATCGAACTCTAAATCTCCTACGTCTTTTTCTCAGCGATTGATGTAATTGGAATCTGAATTCAGTGCCCACAAGTAAATATCTTTCTTTCCTCTTATTTTTTTCTCAAGTTTCCGTTTTTGTTTTCTCCGATTTGAATATATCGTCGATGAAATCGTTGAGCTTTTATTTTTTGACAAAAGTTATGATATTTGATTCGATCGGACTTATATATATATATGGACATGCCATAGCTGTATAGAACTCATGACTTAGATACTTGAAAATATGTTATATGGAATGATCATCTTTGATTTTAATGTTCCATATGCATACTTGATTTATATGTTGAAGAGGCGTAAAAGGCTAAGAGATTTGTTTGTTTGTTTGTTATAGGAGTATAGAACGTTACTCAAATGATTTTTAGTTATTCATTAAGATCTATGATAACGCTTAATAAATCTTATAATATTTTATTGCAATAGTTCTTAACTAATTCGATTTGTATCCAATTTTATCCAAAGGGTAAACATTACAAGTAAGGGCTTGACTGGTTTAAACGTAGCGGTTGCGGTTGTGGGAGTTTGCGGAAACGGACGGTTGCGGTTTCAAGCATTATTTAGCATTTTGACCGACTGGTTTAGCGGTTAAAAACAAATATGTTTGCGGGAGATTTACGACTGGTTGATCAGCGGGTACAATAGCGGTTAAACCAAAATTTACCAAAATAAATTTAGTATATGATTATAAAAAGTATAAAAACACCAAAAACTATAATTATGAAAAAATATAAAAATTTTAAACATGATTAATGATTAAAAACCATAAATAATTATTCAAATAAATTTTATATTGAAAACAAAAATAATTATTAATATTGGAAAATTAAAGTTAGATAATTTTTTTTTTTTAGAATTAACGTGAATATATATAAGACTTGATAATATATATTTAAATTTGTTCATTTTTCTTTTTCAGTTTCTTTCCTTTTTTAAACCAACCGCAACCGTCCGCAACCGCAAACGCTTGCGGAAAGGAGCTTTTAAAATCCAGCGATTTCGAACTGTTCGAAGTGGTATGGAACAGTTTCTATGATTAGTACCAACCGCTAACAACCGCAACCAACCGCTAACAACCGCTAGGCGGGAGAACCAATCAAGCCCTAAATTGAAGTCCAACAATCCTATTCTAAAACATTAAGCCCATATGTTAGAGCCCAAGAACAAATGAGACAATATTAATAAAAGCAGAAGGGATGATTATTGGCCAAAAAATCTGATGTGTATTAATCCAAATATTTTTATTGGATGATGATTTTAATGATGTGTCATGTCCAGAACACTCCAAAAAGCTGAGGTGTCCGCACTGGAGAGAAACCTAGTGTTTATAATTTAATGTTTTATCTTTACTTAAATTGTAAAAAATTTTACTTCTAGGGATTAGTTTTTTATTTATGTAATTAGACTTTGTAATTATAATTATAGTCTCTATTGCCAACGTTAATATCTAATGAAAAGATGATGTTTCAAAAGTAAAATTCTAGTATATTTTTCAGTTAATAATTTATTTTCTTAGCAAAGGTATTTTTTGAATTTTTTATTTAGTGATTTGATATAATTAAATAAAATTTTAGAACTTGATTGTTTACTTTTATACTATTCGGAACCAATTATTACAAAAAGTATCATTACCATGTGCACTCTAAATATAGTAAATTTTATAAATATTAAATTTTACTAATTATTTTATATCTTTTGCAACTTTAAAGAATTAATAATTAGAATTTTCAAAGATCGTATTAGTTAGAGATGCTGAATTAATTACCATGTTCAGTTTTGTTTAGTACTTATATTTTGATTATGTATCAGTTTTAATGATGTGTTAGTTTGAGAATAGCTTGAAAAGCTAATGTGTAAACACCATTAAAAAACTTTTAATACTATCTTTTTGTAAATATAATAATTTTATAATCTAAATTTTATATTATCACATATTCTTGACATATTATATTTACAAAAATATATAAAATATTTAATTCTATATATGATATATTAATTTTTATATATATATATATGTAGCGCAGGCCAATCTGTCAATCTTCGGGCATAACTTTCTAAAATCCGTAATCCGTGTAGGATTGCCCGCAAGATCCTTTTTTTAACGGATTTAATATTTTGTGTTCATAACAGGACCGGACTGGGTTAAGCCCATGAGTTTAGGCCCATTTTGATATTTCTATATAAGAGAATAATGTGGAAAAATGAAAGGTTCTTATTGGATATGAAAAATGAGTTGTATTATTTAGAATGTTTTCATTGGTCATTCATTTTAACTGAGGTGTCAACACGACAATGCTTAAAAAAGCTGAGGTGTCAACCTCTGGAGAGATTCAAGGGTTATTATTGTATTGATTTGGTTTCTTTTTACAAGATGTTTTAGTCAAAAGTAAGATATTTTTTTAAAAAATCACAATTATATTTCTTAAAAAATTTTAATTAATGGCTTACAAATTCCAGTTAGTCATTGTCGAGATTGTAACTGCCGGCTTGCATCCTTTTGTTTTTGGGGCAAAACCAGCTTGCATCTAATGATCATTCTAATTCAAACGTTAATTCTCTATATGATTTATTTCTCAAACATTCTACAATCGATTAGTTCAATTTTCTATAAAAGTTTATACTAATAAGATGATTAGTTTTGTTAATTGTGAGTAGGATGATTTACTTGTTTTACATAATTACGTTTTTTCTTAATGTTCTGACAGATCACATGTACGTCTTCGTTTGATAACCCACCGAAAGGCTTAAATGGGTTAAGAGAAAATTTGGTCAAGTAAATAAAACTCATACTCATAAATAAATAAAACTGAAGACATATAGGTCCATTACATGCTTACCAAAAGAAAAGAAGAATGGTAGACCAACGAAGAACTCAATTAGTCTACGCATAAAATCTCGGTTTGACTTTGATCTAATATTCTTGGAGGCGGCTATTTAGAATTTTCGAAATATATAGCTTGCTCTAGTTTCTACGTTCTAATAAAAGTTTCTATTCAGAGAAAGTGATGGCCCATTGAGTTGATATTAATCTACAAAAGAAGGCTCGTAAAACTGGCCCATTAGTGAATCATTACAAGCCCGCAAAACTCAGGTTGAAATTCTAAGTAATTGATGTTTAAAAACTAGTCAGGAGGGACAAAGAGTCCCCAAATTCCAGAGCTTGTTTCGAATCGCATTCCATTTATAAATTCTAAGTGCTGCTAAATTAGAGTAAATTAGAACGTAGAAACTAAACTTAAGTAAATCACCAATTACACTTTATTCGAAATACCCTAAACTAATAGTAACATTTATTTTAACATCTAAGTGATACCCAATAATATGTAGCATAATGTTATAAACCTATTATTACCTATATTTAAATCCGCAGTCGATGAAATACTTGAATTCAAATGGGAAATACTTATGGAAAATTGCAAACTTTTATTAAAACTTCTAGCAAACTTTTAGACCACTTCTTTAATCACCATTGCTATTTAATTAGTAATAACAGACTAATATATATATATCTCCATTGGAGGTATCTCATTGAGATACTCCTCCACTAAAATAATAGTAACGGAAAAAAATAGAAAAGAGAAAACCTTGAGTTGCTTAGTTAGAACCTGATCTTTACATTTGTTTATTTCTAATTGGTTCATTTCATATTTTAAAACTAAAAATTAAATATATAATTTAGCTACATTAAAATATTAATATATTAAAGTTAAGATACTCCATTGGGTATCTAAACCAATGGAGGTGTTCTAAGTAAGTCAATCACAATATCATAGTATTTAATAGTCAGTAATTATATTTTGGTTTTATTAAGTTAATAAAACAAGTTCTTGACGGAAAAAAAAAAATTATATTTTGGTTATGAGATTAGTGGCTAGGTTCGAAGTTTTAATAAGTTAGTGATAGTAATCATTCTAGGAAAAGTTGAAGCCCAGCTTTTCAACAATAGATTGTCCCCACCTTGACACTATAGTACCTAGTGGGTATATACTGCTTACTGCATATCTGCATGTGTTGATTAGTCACCTGTATATACTTATTTGTTTGCCAAAAAAAAAAAAAAAGTATATACTTATATAAGGAGTGTTCATTAAAAGCATTTCATTTTGGACTTAGGGATTGTTCTTCTTATTTAAATTTTGTTGCATGTGATCTTGTTGAAGAGCATATCAAAGAAAATATATTCTTTTGTAAAAGCTTAGAAGTATATTATATTGAACTTATTTTGTTTTTTAAAATTAATATATTATTTTCGTCTCAAATAGGCTTTTTGGCCTACAACGGATCCAACAAATACAAAAAAGAGGTAAAATTTGTTACGACATAAGATGGACGTAGTTCTTACACAAAGAATATATCACTATAAATCATTTCGACCTTTTATTTTTAACTCAAAATCGTGTTCTAAAGGTTAAATTTGTGAGCGAAATCCTAACATAGGTTTTTGTGTTCAATTTAGCCGAGTCTTTTTAACCCTCCATCATCTAAACTAAATTATATCATTTGTTATCGTCACTTTGTTGGGTTTCTTTCTTTTAATTAAATACATCAAATTTTAGCGAAAAAAATGAAAAAAAAAAGTAAAATGGCAATTTAGAAGGTGCAGATTCCAGATCGATCCAAGAAATGCTTTCCACACACTCCTTCTCATGAGATAGGACCCATTCTATAATAATAATATCTACTTTATGTTACAAAAAAACAATTTAAAAATAAATGATTCGTTACCTTCCTCTTTAAAACTCATATTAGTAGCAATTAGTCGCATAATCACACGACCAACTTTCCCTTAAAATCAACAGACAGAAAGTGAGTGTTATAGACTTATAGTGAGAAAGAGAGATAAAGATAGAAAAAAAAGAGAGAATGAGGATTAGTGATATTTTCTGCTCTTCTCCGGCATCAACCGCCGTACGACCAAGTACACTTCACCACGACGGAAAGGTGACCGGAGGCCGCAGATCCTTCGAAAGCCACCTCCGGAGCCAAAACCCTAGTAACAAGAAAGACAAAACCGTCCCTTGCTTCTCTTCCGACATGCCTTTAATCCCTATTCCTCGTCACTTGAGCTGTAGAAACTCCTTTGAATCTTCAAGCGGGTTTCGTCGGAAGATCGCTTCTGCTCACGGTGACGACGTCCAAATCCGCCGGAAAAGTTCAGCTGACGTAAGTGACTTGAGGAGATCAAGAAGTTCTCTGCTAAGCTCATCGTCTAGGTATCTTTTAAAAGATCATAAGTCTTTGAAAGGTGATGATAAGGACCTCTGGTTATCATCATCGGATCGTTCTAAAGATTTGATTCCTTTCCGTGACCGCAACGTAACTTCTTCATCTTCATCATCTTCTTCTTCTTCTTCCTCGTCGTCTTCTTCTTTTGTGACCAATGTTTCATCGCCGGCTCCATCCACTGATGACCAGGTTTGATTATTCTTCTTTAACCAAAGTATTTATGTGTTTTTTTAACAACATGCATTATTCGATAGAGTTTGAAATTAAAGGTGATATAAAAAAACATTAGTTGAAACCATTATATATTTTCTTGGTTCCAAAGTAATAATGGTTTAAATAATGCCATTTTATAATTTGATTTGGTCAGGTAAAAGTTATATTTCACATGTTAATTCTTACGTCTAGTGGATATGTGGTACCATATTTAGTTGTATATATCTGCAAATAATATAAGCCTTCATAAATATATGGTTCTCAAAAAAAAATTCATTTGTTGATATAATTATATGTTATTTTCATTCCTTTTTTTTTGAATTTATGTTATTTTCATTCTACCTATTTTTATTTATTTAATTATTATTTTTGGCAGGTTGTGGTTTTGAGGGTATCGATCCATTGCAAGGGATGTGAAGGGAAGGTTAGAAAGCATATCTCCAAAATGGAAGGTACTAAGAATCTCTTCTTAATTTCATTATGTAGAATTAAGTATCTGATTAATGTACCTAACCTTAACATTATATACAATTCAAATGAAACATTCAACGAATAGACGACCATATGTAAATTAAAATATAATTTTTTCAAATAAAAATAGTTTAAAAATGGATATTGGTTAAGAGCTTTGAAAGTTAGTGTTTTGACTTTTCCTAATTATCGGATGCTTCTGAGCAACAACTTTTTTTTTTTTTTTTTTTTCTGAGCAACAACTTTTTCTTTATTGAAACAAGAATTATCGAATGACGAATTTATGGATAAATTGTAATTGTTAATGAACTTTTCAACTTTGTTTATGGGACAGGGGTGACGTCATACACCATAGATTTAGCGACAAAGAAGGTGACGGTGGTCGGAAAGATAACACCTGTCGGAGTAGTAGAAAGCATCTCAAAGGTCAAATTCGCTCAGCTTTGGCCTTCCTCTTCTTCTGCTCCATTTCCTCACATTCCTAATTATGCACTCCTCAAATCTTAATCTGTTTTCTTGTTATTTAGTCCGAAAGCTACGGTCATTAGACATATGTCATGTTGTGATTCGTATCAATGCGACATTAAGGTGGTGTAGTTTAACATATACATATGTTTGAAGGAGGTGGTTTTGTTTTTTTCTTTCCGACAACTAAATTTCATTCTTAGTACTTTGAGAAATACTTATTAAAGACATATGGATGGTTCTTTTCAATCCCATCGATCTAAGTAATAACACTTATCAATATTTATAAAGCGTAAAAATACACTATCAAGTGTGGCATAAGCAAAATTACACGATATGCTTTGTCCATAGTTATAGATCATAACCTGCAAAAATCTGAACTTCATTTCAATGGACACTCTGCATTTATTTAGTTTTTGCGTGAGCTTTTTCATCAAAGAATATCATTGATTGATTTGATAGCTATACTGCTGGCTCATTTAGTCGTGAGAACGTTACACGAATCTAGTTAATTCGGTGAAGTTTTATGTATAAAAACATAAAAATCACATGTATATGATGCAACTTTGTATATAATTGTGGATGATTAAGATTTAAATGATGTTTGTACTTGAGTTCTGGTCCAGAAGGGGTTTATGTTCAAGTCATTGTTTTCTTGCTTTTATTTGTTCATGATAAAAACTAAAATTAACTTTTATAATGAATATTGTGTCTTGATATACATCGCTAGAAACTTTCGTAATTCAATTCAACCAACTTGCAATTTTTCTGCACAAAAGGAAAGCGTTTTCTTTGATTGTTTGGTTAATAAAAGGTGAACAAGTTTAGAATCTACCTTTTTATTTTTCTTTTCAATATATTTTAAAAATGAGTTACTAATTCTAAAGTGGCAATGTAATTACTTCTACCATAATCTTTTTATTAACATATAGTACTTAAACACACATACTAGTATACTACCAATATTCATGTTATAAAATAGTAGACCACAAACTCTGAAAAGGTATTTATTATTAAGAAATTTACCCTTTGTTATTTTATAATAGTGCTCTTATTGTAATTATTCGAATTTTCTTGTAGATAGAAAAAATTTACTGTTTCTGTTTGCAATCAAAAAAGCAGCGACACTTCCCAGTTCTAAGGCACTGAGGGGCTCCGGGCCTTTTTCTGTTTGCACACGCATGTTCACACGCAGAATACTTACATGTTCCAGATTTGCTTGTTAAGGTGACAAAGCATTGTCTTTCTGCTTGCACATTCCATGTTAATCCTGTAATATTTAAAATACAAATCTTAGTTTCGATATTTAAAATGGGAAATGGTTTCTTTTGTGAATATAATTTTTTAAGAAATTTTGCTTAAATTAATAAATGATTTGAAATATTATATATGTAACTTTATGATACATTATTATTCTTGAAAAGAAAACATAACGCCATAACTATATAATAAATTTTATAGAGACGTACCTGAAAAATATGATCTATATTTAAGGGAAAATAACTACATAACATCAATATTCATAAACAAAAAAAAAAAAATTATTTGAAACTTTGTTCTATGCAATACAAAGCAAAAAGAACTGATGATGAATAAAAAAAGAAATATATTTATTCACTTTATATCACAATATTTCTTCATAAAATATTAAGAGACCATAAATTTAATAAAAGAGCAAGCTAACTATATTAGTGAAAAATTAGATATATATCTATGGAAACCAATTTTTTAAGTCTAGCTCAAAACATGTAAACTCAGTTTTTTTTAGGTTTGATATATATCTCAAAGTAGAAGTAACTAAACTCAAAATTACAGATATATGTGGTGAAAGATAGTTTTGAGATATATTTTGCATAACATATGATATTTAAAAGAGATTTTATAGTTAAGAAAACGATTTTCATAAACAAATTCTTTTGGAAGAATTATATTTGATCTTTTAAAATAAATTGAAATTTATATACAAACCTAGCATGAAAATGATGAAGAAAATTAGAATACTGAGTGAGAGTTGAAAGGGGCTCCTCATCTTAGATTTTATAAATTTATTGATGGTGTTATAAAAGTTAAAAAGAACCTACAAAGTGTACTTATATATACATAGGCTACAAAGTTATATTTACCTCACATTCAAACATCTCTAATTTAAGCTATTTTACTCCATAATTTCGTTTTGAAGAGACCTAATTTAACAAAGCTTTCCGGTTTTTTCTTATTCTATTTGAAAGCTTCAAACTTGGTTCGTTATTCTCCATTCTTTTAGCTTATTTTCTAATTTAAACTACAACGTTAAACTTCACCCAAAACTTTTATCTAATTTTTTCTACTCCATAATAGATATCATCAAAAATGGCAAAAAAAAAAAAACCAAAAATAGCAATTTGTGTTTCAATAACCAGAATATATAGATGCTTAATGAAATTGAAGTTGAATATTAGTTGATCATGAAATTAATAAATTTTATTCAATATAATTATTAATTTTAATAAATTAATTTTAACTCGTTGACCAAAAAATTGATTTTAATTAACATGTAAAACTATATTTTTAAATTTTTGTTTTTATTTTGTCCAAAAAAAACAGAATTGGTTTTTCTTAAATTTGTTTAAGACCTATTAAATTTTAGAGAATTAGAAAATTAACTATCTTCGATAACTAATTTTCTGACAAAAGATATATTTTAAATTGAAATTTAAAATAAAATTATAGATTTTAATTTCTATTTTGATTACAATATGTATTGATATGTGAAAACTAAATCTATATATTTATTTTCAGTTTGGTTTATGTTATCGGATTGGTTATTTTGACAAGATTTTTATTCAGTTTGGTTAATAGGATTTGGTAAATGTGGATGTCGAATTCACACAATCAAGTATTTATTTATTCGTGGGCTAAAGCTCTCAAAATCAAAATACAAGACACAAAATTATATGAACTAGTATAAAAAATGCCAATAAAAATGTAGAGAAAAAATAATATAGTATATTAGCTTTGTAGCAAGAATTCGATGTGTTCTCTTATGTTTTGGGTACCTCATATTTATACACAAATAATTACATTGAGTAGCTTATTAATGCAATAAATGCTCTCAAATGTGTCCGTTTTGATTCTCCAATGAATGTCATAACATCTCTATTTGAATTTTTTCGAACCCTTCTTGGGTCTTCGAACTCTCGACCCATCTCTTGCTCTCGAGCTCCTCCTCGCTTCGTCAAGCTTCTCCGAGCTATTCGCTTTGGATACTTACTTCGGTTCAGGGGTTGTATTATGTTGACCACCGATTCGTTTACTCTTGATCTACGTGGCAATCTTCGGGTTGATCCGAACTTAGAGTTCGGGATCCGACACCAACAGTAACCCTTCTTTAATGAGGTTTTTGATTTTGTTGTCACGTGGTTTTGTTAATGTCGTTTTCTTGATTGTGTGATACATAATGATTCTTTCAAATGTTCTCGATACTCCGTCAAAAATAAGCTATAAAAATATATCGTTGAAATAAACAACCACAAATTTGCCAATGATTGAACGAAGAGTCTGATTCATGACATGTAGATATGTGTTATGTGCAATAGACAAACTTACTGGCATTACAAGCCATCCAAAAAATCATTTATGCATATTAAACGTCGTATGCGAATTAGATTATAGCCGCTTTTGAAATCAAAATTAGAATATACCAATGCTATTCCTATTCCAATTTGTATCGAGATTTTATACATAGCACGACTATCAATACATTTTCATCAAGAGACCAAGACCCTATTTTTTTAGGAATAAGCAAAGCGGAAACCTCACATGAGCTGATTTTTTCATGCAAAAATCCTTTACGGACAATTGTTTTTACTTGCTTATGGAGTTCTTTGTGTTCTCTAAGACTCATCCAGTAATGCGAACAATTAAAAAAATATTAATCCTATTCAAATAATAAAATATTTATATATAATACTATTAAAATAAGAGAATGATAAATATAAACCGATATTGATTAGAGAATCTTTGTTTTTAAATACTATCCCCGGTTTTCTTTTTAATTTCTAATTAAAAATATTTTAATATTTTGAAAATTACGTTTTAAGAATATTATGCTTCAATATAAAAGAAAATTATACATTTTCATTTTTAAAAATATTATAACTAAATATTTTGTAATTATTACAAATAAAGAACTCAAATTAACACCATTTACTTTTTTTGATGCAACACATACTTTTTTTTCACTGATTAATCGTTTTGTTATGTTCTTTAAATAAATGAATTGTAATTGTATATTTTGTAATATTAAATATTTTGAAATCATTATTAAAAATGTACTCAAATAATATTAGTAGAGTGTTTAAAGATATATATAGGCAAGTGCCTTGCATATGTGTGGGGATCGGAGAAAATGAGGGAAAAGGGTGAATAATGGGATGCTTAACATGAGGACCATTGAATTGTCCGGCGTGCTGTGTTGATATTTTATAATATCAGAAACAGTGAAAAGTAAAACACTTAATTACAAATTTTTGATCAAAGTTATCTTTTCTTTTAGTGTCGTAGGGACATGTGCCTCTTTCAATCATAGTCACGGTGGGTCGAATTTGGTTCTGATATCTCTAAACTTAACGACAGTATGAAATGACATGTCTTAGTTAATCATAGAGCTTGCTTAGTGATACTTCAAACGTGATATTTTTTTGTTTGATTAAAGCCAACTTTTAAGATAGGGTGAATTTGCTAACTAACCAATTTGGACTATGAAATTAAATTTATAACACTATAATACATAAAATTTAACAAGTAACATGTGATGGTCTTAAAATGACCAAAATGCCCTCTAGTGATTGTGATGAAGTGGTGGTGGTGGTGGTGGCCGGTGGTGGTCGCCGGAGCTTAGTCGCCGGAGGTTGGTCGCCGGAGGTTTGGTCGCCGGAGGTGGTGGTCGTCGTCGTCGCCGGAGGTTGGTCGCCGGAGGTCGGAGCCGGAGGTTGGTCGCCGGAGCTTAGTCGCCGGAGGTTGGTCGCCGGAGGTTTGGTCGCCGGAGGTGGTGGTCGTCGTCGTCGCCGGAGGTTGGTCGCCGGAGGTGGTGGCCGGAGGTCGGAGCCGGAGGTTGGTCGCCGGAGGTCGGTCGCCGGAGGTGATCACCGGCAGTAAGTGGTGACCGGTTACCGGAAATGATGACTAGTAGTGGTTAGGGGTGGTTGAATAAGGATACACTTGTAATAATATATATTATATATATGTTATATTGTTAGGTTTTTTTTATAGGTTAGTTTGTTAATTTATAAATTTTTTTAGGTTATAGTTGCAAATTTCCCTTTAAGATATTGCTAGGGCATGGTTTTGTCACGTATGAGTTTATAGTCAGTGCACTATGACATTTAAAACCAACGTATTAATACAGAAATCTTGATAACAACTTACTCCAATTTGCAACCTAAGGATTTATAGTATTTAGTGTCAGTGAATTTTGTTTTTCTGACATAAGAATTAAGAATTGTTATTGATAGGAAGAAGGAGCGAAATTTGGATTTTCATTATTGTTTTTTGTCTTTGTTTTCTGGAATACTTTAGCTAAAAACTATTTGGGCGGCCGGAAAGATACAAAAGCCAAAAGTTATGAGAAATTAATATATTATACGATTTTCTGGATATATTTGGTAGGCTGATTTTTCAACACATAAAAAAATCTTAAAGATAAAGCATATTATAACCTACGATCGCAAGAAACTAAGTCGGATGAAACTTATATAGTAAGTTCATATTTATATCAATAATTTTTTAGATAATTTAATTTTACAAGGTTTAACTCATAAAACAGTAGAAAGATATCGAAAACATAATTAACAAAGATTGACATACCTTTTGGGAATATTAATTTATATTTTTGTGTATATAATTAAGTATATTTGTTTATTAATTTGGTTCATCGTAGCGCTCGATTATATTAAAGATGGACATATACTTTTTGGGAAATAAAGCTGGCCTTATTGACTTTAAACCTGCAGAGAATTAAACTTTAAGCTATCCGAATTCAAGTTATTTTGGGTACGTTTTTGCATCAAAAGGGAAATATATATATATATATTAATTCACATTATACAAATGCATAGCAAAAATATTAAGTCTAGACATATTCTCTGTTGGTGTTAAATATCTATCACATATTTATATTTTCAACCTAAAATGACATGAATTAATGATAAATCAGTAACTACATAACTCGTTCAGAATATCCAAAATTATACTAAGCTCATATACTATAGTTATCAACCAATAACTAAAATTTCTTTATTTTTAATAGAATTTTCCTTTTTTGGTGAATTCTGATAACTTTTATATAAGTCTATATAATTTTAATCTCTTTTATCTACAAAACTTCTTTCACAGTTTCCACTTTCCACCATGCAAATTTGCAACTAAATGACTGAACATCATTATGTCATATACTCCTTTCACGTTTCCCACCAAGCAAAGATCTGCTATGACGGCAACTAATGATAGAACAATAATCATTATATCACTTTTTAAACATGACATGCTTTGCTTCATTTGAGTCAATACCAAGTGATATCCACTTAAACATGACATGCTTTGCGCCTTTGCCTATATATATATCTTTCCACTTGACATTTTGTCAATCATTTATCATCTCATTGTTCAAATGTATTTTTTCTTATTATTTAATATAGTTTAGAATGCCATGCCATGTATAATAACTACGTATACGTAAATAAATTATATAAATGAACAACGTACGATACGAACAACGAAAACACAGTGAAAGTGAAGACGAACTTTTCTCTAGTTTTTAAAATTGAATCGTATATTTAAGACATAACTTCCTGAAAGCATCATTTAATTCCTATTCCTAGTGTCATTCACAGTTTAGTATTATCCCCTCGCACTGTGGGAGATGTTGCGTGTGAAAGTTATTGGGCCTTCTTGTCTGTTTCAGGCCCATATAGTTCTGTCGATGTTTGATTGAGAGAGTTCTGCAAGCTAACAATCCTTTGCTTAAACCTTCATTATGAGCCAGAGATCGATCGAGATTTTTTTTTGAGTGGTTCATAATATCGAGTATTGATATATATGACTTTACGTGAATGAACATTTTACGAAATGTATCACTGAATTGGTTAGTAATGCATAACATATGATCATGATGGGGATATTTTGAGAGTGATAAGACACAAGGGCTACGGACTAGAGCCTAAAGGGTTTGCTGTCGTGAGTTAACTATCAATTTATGGATTCATGGGTCTTGAAGATTGCGATGTGCCTAACCACATATTCGAAAGCTTTAGACTATTTACAATGCCTTGTTGAATAAAAATCCAAACACAAAAACCGAATTCGATACCATTTTAATTATCGGAACGATACATATTTTAAAATAAACGTACTTCAATGTACTTCAAAAATAGATATTTGCTCCAAAGAAATCATTAATTTCAGGAATTAAAAAAGAAAGTAAATACAATTTTCTTACACAAGTTTCCATATGTAGATTACAAAGGACACACATCACATACACACCAAACATTCCCAAACTCCAACAGAAGAAGAAAAATAAAACTAGTAAGTAAGATAAACGGTACACTCGAGAACAGTCTCAAGCCCATCAGTGAACTGATGCGGCTGATTTTGCTGCGTCCCGCTAGATCCTGTAAACGTCTTCAGAATCGCGAATCCCCTTGCATTCACATACTTTCCGGTACCTCCCATAACTCCTATATGCGATTCCGAAACCGCTGTTCTGAGAACCCCAAAGAAGCTTATACTGTCTTCATAACCGCCGCTTTCAAACATCGCAGTGAAAGCCAATGTCTGGCTAGTTCCGTCAATGGCACTCGCAACATAATATCCCTGTGCTTTCCCGAGCAAACCAGATCCGAGTTCATGGCCTTCGGTTAGTTCATCATCGATTACTGTCATTGTCCCGAACATTAGCATCTGAAGAGCAGAACCGCTCGGGAGCTGACCGCCACTTGCAACAGGGAAACCATTTAAAATGTTGTTTCCGTTATTGTTGTTCTGGAGAATGTTAGCTGTGGTTCCGCCAAGTCCAACGAGGAAAGGGACGTTGTTGTTGTTGACAATCCCATTGTTGTTGTTGTTTGACGGAACTCCGTTGCTTACAGGAAGGTTTGCGCCGTTGGGTTTAGCAAATGGGAGTTGGCCGCTTAAAGCCGGGTTCGCGACGACTCCAGTTACGGCTCTGGCAGTGGGATTCGAACCACCGAGTATATCGTGCATAAAAAATACCAATGTGTTGTCAGGACCTACACCACCACCACCAAGAGCTGGACCAGCACCTGCACCACCACCAAGAGCTGGACCAGCACCTGCACCACCACCACCAAGAGCTGGACCGGCACCCGCACCACCACCAAGAGCTGAACCGGCACCCGCACCACCACCAAGAGCTGAACCGGCACCCGCACCACCACCAAGAGCTGAACCTGTACCTGCACCACCTCCAAGAGCTGGACCAGCACCTGCACCTGCACCAGTGGTAGGCAAGGAACCTGAACCACCACCCGCCAAAGAACCAGGAACAGAACCAGCAGTTGGTAGAGGACCAAGCCCTGAACCACTTGATGGTATTGAACCTGTACCTGCACCGAGACCGGTTCCAGTAGAACCTGAACCAGATGACCCTGATCCTGCACCAAAACCGATTCCCGTGGAACCTGAACCACTTGACCCTGTTCCCGCACCAAAACCAATTCCCGTGGAACCTGATCCAGCAGTTGAACCAGAGCCAGTGGTAGCTGAGAATGCATCTTCTTCATCAAGAAGCCGAGCCGCAGCTGCAAAAGTAACAACAAGAGCTATAACCAGTAAAGAAAGTATCTTTTGACCTGCCATTGAACAAGAAAGAAGATCACTCAGAGAAGCAAAGATTGTTGTTTGAAGTAAATGATTGTGATGATAGAATCAGATTCTCAAAAGAGTATATATACATGCAAGAAATGAGATTGTTAATACAAGGAAGATGGAGTTGATGAAATGGAGCAGGTGATAACTTTTTCACATTATCTAGTGGTTTGGTTTTGGAGAAGAATCATATAAAAGAAGAAGAAAAATCATAACTTCTCCACAATATTTGAATATTAGTTCCTCAAAATTGCTAATCTGTAATGTTAAACAACCCAAAGATTAAAGCTTTTCCATTATTCTGCATATATAAACTTATCGAGAATGAAAAATGGCTAAAGATCAGATCTTACATGAAAAAGGTCGCTGCTTGACAGAGATTATCGTCTATGCATAAAAACCCAATAAGGCTAATTGTAAATCACGATCGTTGGTTGCATTTTTCCTCACTCACGCATTTCATCGAACATCTTGTAGACATTTTCTCAAATCTCCATTACCAAACCAAATCCTTTGATTATAATACTTAATTGAGACTGAGTTACACAATCCCATCTCCATTGATCCTTCGAATTCGTGATTAGAGTGGTTCAGAGTCTTATTCAGAACAAACACACTCAAGCAACGAGACAACTTTCAGGAAATCTCTCGATGAGCTTAAAATGGTTTCATCGTTTGATTGTGTTCGTTACGAATCAGTCTCTGAACAAAAACGACGAAGAGAGAATTCTTCAATTCTGGACAAGACCAAGATCGTCGTCGACGGCATCGAATTGTGGAATCTGGCAAAGCTTTGTGATTGAGAGAGAAGAGTAAAGTGATTGATCTCCGGTTCTTACATTTCCACGATACCGAGTCCCGGTTTACACAATCTTCTTAAACCGTAACCGGAACAGTCAGCCCGGTTCACAGGGAGTGCAATTTTACGTTTCTTTGTTTGATTATTTTACCAAATTCTATGTGGATTTTTAACTGTCTAATGAAGATTAGAAAATTTATCTAGACCTTTTTTTTTATATTAGACCTTTTTTTAACACTAAATTTTATATTAGATTTGAAACAAAAATGATATAATATAATATTAGTAACTAATTAAATTTATCAATTTGATATAATTATTAATCAACATATCTTAACCTCGATTATATAAATTACTGCTTTTCACTTCATCACATAATACAAGTAATTTATCAAAAATTTTAATCGCTAGCTAGCCTATTTTAGCTAATCATAATTAGTAAGTTTTTTTTTTTTTGGGTCAAAAATCAGATAAGTTATCTAGGAAATTGTTTTTAACCGTATGGATCCTCAATAGTCAATAATTGTGGAAGAAATATTTTTTCATTTCTTATTTATTTTGAATAACAAAAGAGAAGAAAGCACCGGTCCATAAAAACCAAACCATAAACACCGAAAGAAAATAACACTTGCTTAAACCATGAAATAACTAAAACACTAACTCTTCTCCTTTCTTTCATTATCTAGTTGGAAGGAGGGAAGAAAATGGCATCAGAGGTCCTCTTAGATCGGAAAGCCTTCTCCACCTCCGGATCCACCTTGAACGCCGCCTGCAAAACCTCGGGCGACAAAGCCTTCCACACCGATGTCCTCCCAGCCAAATGCGTGAAAATGGGACTGCCAAAAAGCACCAAAAACTATGTAAGTAAAACATTATTAATCAATCAAAAAATGATAAAAAAAAAAGATAAATAAGATCTTACTCAGGAGTGGTCACAATGGAGAACCAAGACAAGCCATCAGAATCAGCAATCTTGGAGACAACAAAGAACCTAGGAACAATGAACAAAGCACCAGCTTTCACATGAGTCTCAAGAACTCTCTTCCCATCAGCACCAACAATCTGAACACGACCACTTCCACCAACAATGTAAGTAACTTGAAGAGCCGAGTCACAAGAGAAGCCAGGAGAACACATAGAATGTCCATCGATTCTAACAAGATCAGCTCCAAAACCAACTTCACCAACCAAAGGAAGATTCTTTGTGTTCAACACAACAACTCTTCCTCCATTCTTAATGTCAACATCAAGAGGAGCCTCCAAACAGTTCAAAACAAACCCTTCACGATCACCTTTCTTTGGTGTAGGCATCTTCAAGCTCGCATCAACCTTCACGATGCCGTTACCGGTCTGAGAACCAACAAGCTTCTTCACGGTGGTCTCATCAAGATCCCAAGCTCTGCCAACAAACTCAGTTGAGAATCCGGTGAAGATTCCGTTGGATCCGGTTAGGTAAAAGTCTGTGAACTGTCCTGCTTTGTGACCCTTGTGAGTCTCACCGAGGAAGAGGACAACTAGCTCAGTGTCCTCATTGTTGAACCACCATGTCACTACACCAAAAGGTAAAGCTATGGAGTCTCCTTTTTTGATTGCTATCACTTTCTCCTCTTTCTCAGGGAGCACGATTCCAGCTGTTCCAGCTCCTAAAAATGGTAACAAGAAAATATATTAATCTTCTCTATATTCATTGGCTAGATCACTATATTATGACCACCAAAACATATATCATATTTCACAATAAAAAAAAGGACCATGATCAATATATGAAATATGAACCCTAATTACATGTCAAATTTTTATTTTGGATCATTGTTCTAGATAGTTTAATCATACGTTCATCACAATTCTACAATCACCAAATCATATCATTTTTTTTTTTCAAATCAAGGCTTAATGGAAGAATAAAAAATTAGCACATTCGTAGATACAAAAAAAATCATACTACTTAAGAACCCTTTTAAGAAAGTGATTTATGATTTATCAGATCTGAAAAAATAGCTTTATGGACAAAACAAACAAAAAACATATGATCAAGACAAACTTTAGTTAAAACATTAAAAAGAGAGTGTAGTGATCAAAAGGAAGATCGTAAAACACGAACCTTGAAGAACATAAGCGACCTTAGGAGAATCAGAGTAGCGAGGAAGAGCCAAGCCATTCTTCTCAAGAGCGAGCTTAGCGGCTCCAATGTTACCATCTCGGAGCATTGGCAACTCTTCAGGACACCATGCAAAGTACGAACCACCGTCTCCTCCGTACACCTTCTTTGGCAACCTCGGTGAAAGATCCAACTCCATTGTTAAAGACTAAGTTTTAAACGGTTAAAAGAATATCAAAAGTGAAAAAAGATTTGAGAAACTTTGTTATGATATTGATATTGAAGAGAGAGCACGTATTTATAGTGGTCGAGAATTTGTATCTGGTTATTAAATGAGAGATTTTTGGAAACGTATCTTTGACCTGGATAATTACTTGGACCAATTTATGGATAATTACGATGACCAACATATGGATAAATTTTGGATAATACCTTAATTGATTAATTCATATTTCTTCTACAGTTATATATTTCAATTAATATTTTTTAACACACTTTTAATTCATTTTACAATTTCATAATACAAAACAATAATCATATATACAACTTACATATTAAGATATAACATCATATATACGAGTTAAAGTTAATAAAATTGCTATTATAATATACATTATTAAGCTATATTCTTTACTTACTAATATAGATTAATAGATATATTATTTCTATTTTGTCTGTTGAGGAGAAAACTAAACTAAACGAGGCAGAGGTGGTATAAGCCTTTAAGGTTTGAGAGTTTTTTTATTTTATTAAATTTATCGACAAGTATGTTTTACTACTATTAAATATCTGTTTATATTCTGTTATCAATGGATAATGGAGGAAAGTTTGAGAGAAAATAAATAAATATGGAATGTAATAAAAAAAACATTTGACTTCGGAGTAAAATTCGGATTAAAATCATCTATGTATGGATAATATTATATTTACTAATTAATTCATATTTATCCTTAGTAAATTATCCACGTCGGTTAAGGAATTTCAAATGGCTGAGTTTTTTTTTTTTTTTTAAGACTTGAAGTTATCCTAAACAAGTAACAATTTTTGTTTTCAACAGTTCTAACTTGTTTTTTTCCCAAGAATCTACAACAATTATTTGTTTTTGGGGTTTGAATAATATTGTTTTGGTTTTTCTACAACAATTACTTGTTTTTTTCCCAAGAATCTACAACAGTTCTAACTTGTTTTTTTCCCAAGAATCTACAACAATTACTTGTTTTTTGGTTTGAATAATACTTGTTTTTCTCTTTATTTTTGTTGCAATTATATTGTTTTGGTTTTGATAAAACAATTAAAAAAACTTTAAAAAATATCCCGAGGGTTTCGACCTAGTATATATAATAGATACCCAGAATATGTATACATTAGTTTGTGTTTTGATGAGAATTTTAAATTTGTTTTTCGGATTTTAGAGAGAGAGAAACAACATAGTTTTTGTCATAAGCTTACAAAGCTCACTTGAGTTTTTTTTTTTTTTGTGACTACTGTAGTGGAGTCCAGTTCTACACAAGGCCCAATCCGAATTATTACTAACTTTCTACTAAATACATTAGTTTGGCATTTGTCCTTTTTTTTTTTGAGGGGGAAAAGATGTTGGTCATTTTGATAACATCAATAAGTTTTGTGAAATGACCAAATTTTTCAAGAAACAATCCTATTTTCTCCCTCCTCAAATGCCAAACAATTTTTTCAACTTACGTAACAGTGATTTAAGACACAACAATGCAGCTTCTTTCAAACTAGCTAGTTGAAGTTGATGGCCGTCCATGGCAGTTGCAACTAAGGAAACAGAACATGTTTTGCGCCTAACTTCTTACAAAAACATGACCAAAAGCCACCACAAACACTGGTCACAATCCAACACGTAAAATTGTATTGTCTTTACTTATTTTTCTAAAAACAAAACCAAGTCCTCTGTCTTGATTTGTCTCCACTTTTAGGGTCTTTGATCTTTATGCTCTACAACTGTGAGAGTTAGGCACACCAGTGATCTCCAGGCCAAAAATATGTCTTTGACAAAAAAAAAAAAAAAAAAAAAATCTCTATTGTTTTTATAAAAGTCGATGAATCAACTCAAATTTCCATCAGAAATTCTATTACTCCCTCCGTTTCAGTTTAGTTGTCGTTTTAGGATTTAAATTTTGTTTCATATTAGTTGTCGTTTTAGGTTTTCAATGCAAATGTTTGGTGAAAATTCCAGTTTTATCCCTACTGTTTTAATGTTTTGGCAAATGAAATTTTTTATAAAATATATTAATAAAGGGTAAAACAGAAAATTTAATGCTTTCCTTAATTTGTGTGAAAAAACCTTAAACGACAACTAAGACGAAACGGAGGGAGTATGTTTTAGGTCTTGATTGTTTGTTTGTTTCTGCGTTTATATGTTTCAATGAAGAAATTTTCTAATCATGTTTTAAACATTTAAATTATTACCATTTTCGACATTTTTAACAAGGTTTTTTCCGTAAAATTTAAATAGAAAAAGAACATATTGTTTGTATTTAACATTTGCGTTTTACATTTTGATTAAGTAATATTTTATTTAAACATAACCACATAAATTAAGTTTTAAAACTCGTTTTATTTCATCAAATTATCTAAAAACAGCTTTATAAATTAAAGCTACTTAATCGAACATGGTATAAAAAGAATCAGGACCAATGATGATAAATATATTTCATGAATATCTAAAATCCAGAATCTCAAATCGTTTATACACACAAACTCTTAAACCCTCCAAAAAAAACAATTTTAAATCTATACAATAATATAATCCAAGACAACTAACTAAATAACATAATAAAAAAAAACAAAAACAGAGCAATAAAAGAGAAATAATTGTAACAACAAAAGCACTAATGAAATCGTTGTCGTTTGGTAGCAACTTCAATTCCGGTGGCAATTCCAGGAACAGAGCAACCTCTAAAATTCAGCATTGACGTCGTCGTAGTCGGCAAACAACCGTAAGAGTTTGATATCGGAGGGACTCTAAAGCTCTGTTGAAGCGGCGGAGGATTACGCCACCGTGGAAGAGGACCAGCAACAAGAAGTGTTTGAAGCAACGGTCCAGATTTCATCACAGTTTGAAGAAGCTTCCCTTTCTCCGGTAAAGATTTGCCTTTTATAATCTCATCCATTAGAGCATCCACAGGATCAATCTTTTTCAAGATCCGGTTAACGGGTTGTTGTCGGTTCTTGAACTTGATTTGGTTAACCGGTTCCGGTACGATATTGAAATTGGAGAATTCAGAGGATGAGACCGGTTCAAAGAATGAATCAACCGGTGAAGAACCGTGTGAGTTTGACTCGGTTATGCTTGAATTTGTTTTGATTGTTAGAAGTTTTTGTAGTTGATCTTTAGCTTCGTCTCTTTCTTGACGAGCAAGTTTGAGAAGATGAAGAAGATTCTTCACTTCTTCTTGATGAAGTTTTGTTTCTTCATTAGCTTTTGCTTTCACGGCTTCAAGTTCAAAGGAACTATATTGAAGCTTTTGTCTTAATTCATCCATACTCTGTAATAATTATCAAGAAAAAGTTAAAAGTCAGAAATTAATTGATATAAAAATGAAGAAAAAAGATTGGCTGAATCATTGAAGAAATCAACATCTAGAAAAAAGTATAGTGAAAAGAAACATAATAATAAAAAATACATTGGTTTTACTAATGATGTGTGACAACAACCTTGCGTTCATGGGGTCAAGAATTCACTCGAAACGTTACTAAATGTAAACCAAACATATTAATAATTATTATATAAAAACGTCAGGGCTAGGAAATTATTAAATAAAAAGACAAAAAAAGAAAATAGTCTTTTTGTGTTAAAAGGGTCAGAAAAGTACAAGAAGTCACATTTTATGTAGGTGAAATGGATTGCTCTGATAGATTCTCATAGATCTTAGAGGTTTTATAATGTCGGAGTTAACTAAAAGTAAAATGTTAAAAAGAAAAAATAAAGAGAGATTATTAGTCAGAAGTAAATCTCAACCAAAGATTAGAATTCCAATTTACACACACACACACACACACACACACAAACACAATGATTCTTAATTAAGGACAAGATTCTAGAATTGATCATCCATAAAAATTCAAAAAAAAATGAATCTCCATGCAAAATGTTGATTTGGTTAGTAAAAGTTACACAAATTGGCCTTTGAAATTCATATTATTAAGGAAAACTAACCTCTTGGTAAAACCAGATAGAACCCAACTCTTCCATTTGTTTTGTCTCTTCGTTTCTTGTTTCTTAGAGAGAAAGAGAGAGAGATTTTTTTCTTTTCTTCTCTGATTTCTTAGAGAGATAAAGAGAGAAAGAGAGAGAGGGAGTTGCAGGGGAAATGTTGTGGGTGTTCTTATAGTGAAGAAGAAGAAGAAGGCATAACAAGAGAGGACAATTAGAGGAAATGTCGTTCATGTCATGTCAAACGCATAAAATTAAATTAAAAATGGGAATAGAAAATGATTAATTTTGTTTGACTCGAAAACTTGGTAAGATGCCATATTTGTCCTTTCTCTCTCCCTAGCATCACTGAGCTATCTTTCCTAAAACCTCTCCCACTTTAGCAGGGACTTTGTCTCTTCCTTAAAATAATTCGTTATTTCCATTTTTTTACCATTTTTTAACTTATCATGCATGACATTTATACACGACATGCATGTTATGACATTTTTTATTTTATTTATATTAATGTATAATTAAGAACTTACTTTAAATGTACGTGTTTTTAAAGAGAAACCGAGTAAGTAATAAACTTTCTTGAATTGTATTAATATTTTTGTGAATGTTTCCAAAAATATGTGAAAGTGTTTAAATTTTCTTGGAAATTTCCGCTTTAAATGAACCAATCTAAAAATAAATTACTCAAATCTAGAGCTGTGGAATCTACTGTGCTTTTCAACCTAAAAATTATAGGTTGGAGGCTCAAATTTTTTTATTAACCAGAAAATAGATAAATAAATAAATAAAACAAGTAAACTACTGAATATTGGCAAAACCAAAAAAAATACGTACACGTTTCTCATATATATCAGTTGGGACTATAGTAAAAGGCTAACTTGCTAAAGTCCGTAATCTTGAGTCAGCAAATCGTCGTTATTTTTGATATTATTAGAGACTATTACCTTTTTTTGTCTGTCACATTACTTTCAAATTAATACTTGGCTTCGTATTAACGAGTAACACACCATATGTATTTACAATAATACGCTTAAATTTCGCGTTTTTAATGCCTTATTAGTTATTACTATTGCTAAAATTGATCAAATATTGGTAAGTGTATGTATTGTTAGATCAAATATTTATGTATACTAGAAAAGTATCTAGCTATTTTATATATTTACTTATTAGAACTTTTAATAAACAACTAGATTTGTACTTTAATCTCACACAGTCACACACATATACAATACATGGGTTAGTCGAATAAGTTAGATTTCTTAAGATCAAATTGTATCAAACTTCCGTTATAAACCTAGATCAAATTGTCAAGCTATCGCCCCATTACTTTTAAAATGTCATTTCGAATAATAAATTCTTCAAACCAGAAACATTTCGAATACCAAAACTTAAAACTTTTCAGTATTATTTTATAAATTAAATTATGTAATGTTTTTTTTTTGTTGGACAAATAAATTATGTTATGTATAGGGCATTGTTTGTTTGTTGAAAATTATGTATCCGCATGGATGGCCCCGAATAAGATAAAAAGCGGGACCTACCGTACAAAATACTACTTGATCAACGGAGGTTGCGCACGATGGCGACAATCATTTGCTCCATACGTGAATCCAAGGATGAGCAAAACAATGTTATTAGTTTTTAAAATGGATAAAGGAATAAAAATATATTATATTGTAAGAGTAACGTATATTTTGATATAAATATTCGATCAAACCACGAGACGCTCCTAGATTTTCTTATGAACTGCCCAAGAAACTGAACTATATACAAATATTTTGACTTGTAAATAATTAATTCATCATTAGTTGTATAACTAACCTTGTCTTGTAACTTAAAGAAATGAAGGCCACATGGGTTTCGTCATTCCCATGAATTGGTAACTCGGAATATATTTGCGGCATAACATGATTATTACTTTCTAATGGCATATAAGTAAACATAAGGTGAACTAAAACCAAAATAAAAGAAAAACAGAAAATGAATAATTAGCATATCAAACCAAAGTAATCTGTGTTTGTAAATCTAGGTTGAGTCGGTTATTAGTTATATTGATAAGAATCTGTTTTATATAGTTTCAAAAAAATTTAATCTATAAATCCAAATTATTTAGTTAGTATCATTATCTATATTTAAAAAATCATGAATATCTTTACTAAATATGGTCAAATCCTGTTTTTTCCAGATGGTTTTTTTTATATAAATTTGATCTAATTATGGCTCAAAAATTCAAATCCTTTATAGTATAAAACAATCACAACTATATATAGAAAAAATTTGCCAGCTACAAAAATAATATTGGAAGTAAAGAGTTTCGTAATATTTTAGTGAAACTTTAGTTTACCTTTTAAATTGTGTATGTAACCAATTTATAATACATATTTAGTGTTTAAGAAATGTATATATATATATATATATATATATATATATATATATATATATAGAATTTTGTATAATGTTAAAATAATATTTATATATATGAAGAGACAAACGAAGAACGTGGGAGTGAGAAGGAAGAAGGATAATAATGCCAATGACAACCTTTGTTGTCTCGTTGCACTGTATGCAGGAGTTTTCACACTTATCAATTTAGTATTAACAATTTTCAAATATAATTTGTTGGAACATTCGCATGTATATAATGTAAATAGGAAACCTAGAAGATTAACATTAGCTCAAATGCGAAACAAGTGATAAAAGTCCTTAGATTGCCTAATTCCATTATTGATGAACATGTCATTCTTTCTTACTCTCAACTATTTCCGCGTCTAACCATTTCTTATGACCCAACCTCTTTTTTTTCCCCCCTTCTTTGTTATTGTTAAAGTAATGATGTTCTCTTTTCTCTTTTGTCGGCAACTAATTAATTCATTAAATCAATGAATCTCGCCGTCAAAAAAAAAAAACAAAATTTGGAATCCTCGCCTCTTTTTTCCCTTAATTTACTGCCTGGAAAGAAATCATTCCATGTATATATAAGTAAGAAGAAAATACATTAAAAAAAAAAACTATGTTAATAAACACAAATTTTTTTTATTTTTTTAAATAATGAAAAGATAAAATAAGTTCGTACATTTTCTGAGGCCAAAGACTAGAGTATTTTATATTGTTCTCCCCCAAATATTACTCAAATCGGAAACCTCTTCACTTTGCCAAAACAATTTTACGAGTTGAACTATTGACATTTGATCACAAACACAAATTCATCATGCTTCAGTTACTTTAACCGTAAAATAAATGAGCAAATGAAGAAAAACAAGATAAATCTTTTGAAAACAAATCCGCAATTATAAAAGTAAGAAGGATATTAGATACAAAAGACTTTGTTGAGGTTCAAATATTTGCTTAGTCTTCAACTTTTGTTTTTATTGAAACCATATTTAAAATAAAAAAATTGTAAGTGATTTATCTAACACTTGTAATTAATTACACGATTCCAAAAAACACATCTAACTCAACTCGGCGAAGTTTTTAGATCTTAAGAGTATATATTTTAAATATATTTAAGATTAGAGTACTCTCTAGATTATCTGTATAAGCAAAGGTTTCAACTTAATATTAATAACACATAAATTAACCTAATACTGTTTCATGCTATAAGATTCTACAATGTAGCATGCTTAATTTGTCAACTTGTGTATCACTGGTTTAAGAACCAGCTTAATAAATATAGTTTTATAATATGCAAACATAGTTTAACCGATCTCTTAATTTAACATTTTTCTTAATAAATCTTATATTTTATTTAGACAAAATAAGAACTTGCTAAATAGATTTCATATTTAGTACAAGTATTTTTTTTTTTTTTTTTTTTTTTTTTTTTTTTTTTTTTTTTATGTATCATGTATGCATTATTCATACACTTAGATATGGACAATGCATATTTTTGTCAATAATAACAAGGTGTAGACACGGATGGGAAAAGACAAGCGCCTAAATTTGATAAGCATGTGATCAAAGATAAGACCGGCGGATTATAAAAAGGACTACCGGTCTTGTCTTCTATTGGGTTCAATGTATTTGCTTCATATACCTACGCATTTATATAATTAAGTGATAATTATTATTTAATCATAACTTTGTTTAAACACCATTTTCTCACTAAAACAAAACCATTTTGGCCTTTTTCTCCAACAATAATAACATCCTTCCGACGGCCTTAATTAAATAATTAACTACAACCATTCCCTCAATATCTGGATAAGCATTTCTGTTGCATTACTTTACGATATTTGTTGGGTTATTCATAACAAGCTATATTGGCTGATGTACTATATTTACGCTGGCTAAGATAGATGACTTAGTATATAAGCCAAGGTTTGGACCCAAAAACATAAAATGAATTCATCATAAAACGCGTTAAGCTACACATGAAACCGATGAATTAGAGATAACGGAAACTAGTTTGCTATTTGGTTGTCATTATAAGTGTTAGTTACATAACGAAAACATATTACTATTTATACTACAAAAAGGTGAATTATACAAATAAATTAGTATTCGAGTTTTGTGTTTTGGACTACTTTCGGGGTAAATATGCCCCTTGATAAGAAACTTTTTTTTGAAAACTCAGCATGTGTAAAACATCCGAGCCGAAGCACAAGTGACCAATTGGGCCATCTATGCGCACAATAGAATCATCTCTAGGCTATAGTGAAAATTTACGTATGGTTGGTCTTTGACCTAATACTATTATGTCCCCACACGAAGGCTAAACAGAGTATAAATTGTTAAATAGCCAATTGTACGATCACTGATCACACTCTTCTTTATGGTCTGGTTTTCTCTGAACTCCTTTGTGCTTATTTTTGAAATAGTATATTGTTGGAGACTCTTTGACCTAGATGTAAGATCTTTCGCATAGAAGAATATGAACTTGTAAATCGCATAGAAGAATATGAACTTGTAAATGCTTCATTTTTTTTTTTTTGAATACCAGAAGGTTCTGGGTCAAAACCCGTAATCTCCCAGATCTGAAACCACAGCATGTAATATTAGTTTCGTCCCAAGCGTTACTAATATTACATTCACTAATATTAAAT